GTATTATTGCAATATAAATTCTACAGGTGTTTATGTGAAAATGGATTCCATTTGGAGTAGAAATAGATTCGTTTATGTAGGCTGCTCGTTTCATTGGCTTTTTAGTCTTTACATAGAAGTGATTATGTTTTATGTACTTGCCGGCGTTTTTCAAAATAACAATTGTTTTGTTATCTATATTGTAGACGACAGAAGATGTTAATGAAATGAATAGCTTTTGTATCATTGTCATTTATGATTGTAATATGATGTAAATTAACTCTTTAAAACATGATGCTTAATTAACACGGGGAGTTGACCAAACGATGTGACAAATGCAAAATCTCAAAAAAAACTGCTTCGATGAAGAATTGTTTTGTAGTGATCAGCCCTGGTATTGGTATACTTCAGAGATACTTCCTCCAAATTATACCCATACCAGAAGTTATCACTGCAACTTCCTGCAACTTGAAACAAAGATTGCTGCGTGGAGATCCTATGAAGAGTTTGCAGTGCTAGATAGCCATCAGTAAAATTCTATTTCAGAACTGTATTATTGCAATGTAAATTGTACAGGTGATTATGTGAAAATGGATTTCATTTGGAGTAGAAATAGATTCGTTTATGTAGGTTTCTGGTTTCATTGGTTTTACATGGAAGTGAACGCTTTATGTTTTTGTGTACTTGCCTGCGGTTTTTCTTCCAAATTAACAGTTGTTTTCTGATCAATATTGTAGACCTCAGAAGACGTTAATAAAATGATTTTTAATCATTGTCATTAATGATGGAAATAAACTCTTTGAAACAGGATGCTTTATTAACGCGGGGAGTTTACCAAACGACGTGACAAATGCAAATCTAAGTCAAACGAAACTGCCACGATGAAGAATTGTTTTGTAGTGATTAGCCCTGGTATAGGTATACTTCAGAGATGCTTTCTCCAAATTATACCCATACCAGAAGTTATCATTGCAACTTCCTGCAACTTGAAACAACGATTGCTGCATAGAGATCCTATGAAGAATTGACATTAGCAGACAACCATCAGTCAAATTCTATTTCAGAACTGTATTATTGCCATGTAACAGTTGTTTTCTGATCTATATTGTAGACCTCAGAAGATGTTAATCGAATGTAACTATTTTCAATCATTGTCATTTATAATGTTTTTAAAACAGGATGCTTAATTTACACGGAGGAGTCGACCAAACAAATGCAAAGACCAATGCAAATCTAAGGCAAACGAAACTGCTACGATGAAGAATTGTTTTGTAGTGATTAGCCCTGGTATAGGTATACTTCAGAGATGCTTCCTCCAAATTATACCCATACCAGAAGTTATCATTGCAACTTCCTACAACTTGAAACAACGATTGCTGCATAGGGATCCTATGAAGCATTGACATTAGCAGACAACCATCAGTCAAATTCTATTTCAGAACTGTATTATTGCAATGTAAATTCTACTGGTGTTTATGTGAAAATGAATTCCATTTGGAGTAGAAATAGATTCGTATATGTTGGCTGCTGGTTTCATTGGCTTTTTAGGCTTTACATGGAAGTGATTATGTTTTGTGTACTTGCCTGCGTTTTTTTTTTCGAAATAACAGTTGTTTTCTGATCTATATTGTAGACCTCAGATATTCATAAAATGATTTTTAATCATTGTCATTTATGATGTTTGTGTTATATGGATAACTGCACATTGAAACAGGATGCTTAATTTACATGGGGAGTCGACAAACCGACGTGACAGTTGCAAATCTCAAAAGAAACGATGAAGAATTGTTTTGTAGTGATGAGCCCTGGTATTGGTATACTTCAGAGATACTTCCTCCAAATTATACCCATACCAGAAGTTATCATTGCAACTTCCAGCAGCTTGAAACTACGATTGCTGCGTAGAGATCCTATGAAGAATTTGTAGTGGTCGACAGCCATCAGTCATATTCTATTTCAGAACTGTATTATTGCAATATAAATTCTACTGGTGTTTATGTGAAAATGGATTCCATTTGGAGTAGAAATAGATTCGTTTATGTTGGCTGCTGGTTTCATTGGCTTTTTAGGCTTTACATGGAAGTGATTATGTTTAGTGTACTTGCCTGCGTTTTTTTTTTTTCGAAATAACAGTTGTTTTCTGATCTATATTGTAGACCTCAGATGTTCATAAAATGATTTTTAATCATTGTCATTTATGATGTTTGTGTTATATGGATAACTGCACATTGAAACAGGATGCTTAATTTACATGGGGAGTCGACAAACCGACGTGACAGTTGCAAATCTCAAAAGAAACTGCTACGATGAAGAATTGTTTTGTAGTGATGAGCCCTGGTATTGGTATACTTCAGAGATACTTCCTCCAAATTATACCCATACCAGAAGTTATCATTGCAACTTCCTACAAATTGAAACAACGATTGCTGCATAGGGATCCTATGAAGCATTCATATTAGCAGACAACTATCAATCAAATGTTATTTTAGAACTGTACTCGTATTATTGCAATGTAAATTCTACAGGTGTTTATGTGAAAATTTATTTTATTTGGAGTTGAAACAGATTCGTTTATGTAGGCCGCTAGTTTCATTGGCTTTACATGGAAGTGAACGCTTTGTTTTGTGTACTTGCCTGCGTTTTTTAAATTCAAAATGACAGTTGTTTTGTTATCTATATTTTAGACGACAGCAGAGATGTTAATAAAATGAAAGGATTTTTATCATTGTCTTTTATAATGTTTGTGATATGATGATAAATTAACTCTTTAAAACAGGATGCTTAATTGACACTTAGGATTCGACCAAATGATGTGACAAATGCAAATCTCAAAAGAAAAGAAACTGCTACGATGAAGAATTATTTTGTAGTGATCAGCCCTGGTATTGGTATATTTCAGAGATACTTCCTCCAAATTATACCCATACCAGAAGTTATCATTGCAACTTCCTACAACTTGAAACAACGATTGCTGCATAGAGATCCTATGAAGAATTGACATTAGCAGACAACCATCAGTCAAATTCTATTTCAGAATTGTATTACTGCAATGTAAATTATACAGGTGTTTGTGTAAAGATGGATTTCATTTGAAGTAGAAATAGATTCGTTTATGTTGGCTGCTGGTTTCATTTGCTTTTTTGGCTTGAAATGGAAGGGAACCCAATTTTTTTTTTGTGTACATGCCTGCGTTTTCCAATATAACAGTTGTTTTGTTATCTATATTGTAGGCGATTTTAATAAAATGAAAAGATTTTGAATCATTGTAGTTTGTGATATAATTATATATTAACATTTGAAAACACGATGCTTAATATACATGGGGGAAACTGTTAGAGTTGTTTTATACAATTGTATGCCAATTATTATATTAATTATGTTAATTTTATTCAAGGGTATCTTTTTGTACATTCTGTCTGGACGAAATGGAGATGAATATGCAATGCTTAACAAATCTAGTTCTATTTGTTTTTGTCGCTAATTTAGATTTAATCAGCGCCGTAATCGTATGTAACATTAAATTGTCGTATATTTTAATATTAGAAAATGACTGTTATTCCATCGGACGAGCCGGCGTTTTAGCCGCATGCGTACGCGTCTTGATTTTTTCCATTATTTCTATTGGGTAAAAATCCAGTTTAAATTTATACGGTCTCATTTATTTATACGACATGTAAATTTGTTGGGCACGACATCAAAAGAGTTTTATCAAGAGACAGTTGTTTACGAAATGATATGGGAGACAGCGATTTTCATATTTATTTAATTTCTGGTTATCTTTTGATTTTAGTATATACTGGCTGTAGATTTAATTTATGTGATGTAGGGATTAGAAAGAAGCAAATGAACGCATTATGTTTTGTTTGCTTGCTTGTGATCTTGAAATCACAATTGTGTTAACAGAATTGTGAACGAAAATGATGAACATGAAGAAATGAAGAACATACTATATATCATCAAAAAAAGAAACTGCTGCAATGGTGAATTCTTTTGTAGTGATTAGCCCTGGTATAGGTATACTTTAGAGTTGCTCCTCCAAATTATACCCATACCAGAAGTTATCATTGCGTGTTCCCGCGACCTGAAACAACGATTGCTGCATAAGTGCCCTATGAAGAATGTTATATTAATATTAGTCTTTACTGTTGAATCAAATTGACTAAAGAGATTTATGTTTATGTAAAAGATTTTGAATAATTGGCGTTTACGATAAAAACTGCGTGATTCTAAAAAAAATGATTCTGAATGTACGCAAGAGAGTCGACCGAACCACGTGCAAAGAAAATTGTTTTGTAATGATCGGCCCTGGTATTGGTATACTTCAGAGATGCTTCCTCCAAATTATACCCATACCAGAAGTTATCATTGCAACTTCCTGCGACCTGGAATAACAAGTGCAGATTAGATGTTCTACGAAGAGAAGAAGAGTTGTACACTAACTTTAGTACTTAGCAGATCTATGCTATGCTCTTACTAATATTCCATTGTTTGTCTTTAATATGAATGTAAAAAAATGTTGATTAGCACACGAAAAATTACCTGAACTTAATTAAAAAAATTCATAAAAGGCAAAAAGTTTCGTACGCTCTATACGTGTAATAATTTTATGAGTTTATTAATTTTTAAATACGTTGTCTGCATCGCCTTTGTCCTTTTTACAATACAATAAGTATATTATTTCTCTATAAGTTTATAATTTAATGTGTATAAGGTGTGTTATGTTCGTCCAACACAAAGGCAGGGCAATACATTAGGTATATTATAAATGGTTAGATGCAGGCAGCACACAATTTTCTGTCAGTTTCAAATATCGTGACTATGATTATAACAATGTAACATTTTTATGGAGACTTAAACACACATGCGCTCATGCTTTTTTTCCTCCAGGATAGACCGCAACAGCCTGCCATTATCTTAGCTTCCTCATTTGTCATTAACTCCCAAAGACCAGTCTCTTTCCACAAATATCTAAAATTTTACGCCATTAATCATTTAATTTGTAAAAAATTGTCGTTATGAAGGCTGGCGGAGATGGAGCCGGCGGTGTCGGGCGCGGCGCAGTTTACGAGCGTGTTCTCGCGCTGCGTGCTGGTGCTGCACGGCGCGTTGCACGCCACGGCTGGACCGCCTGCGCATGCGCTCGCCGCCCTCACCACCGACTGTCTCAGGTACTACTTTTATATTAGAAGGCACTTATAATTTTTACTAATGTAAATAACTGTTGACTATTCTTATATTAATGGTTACGTTCATACTGGTAGTTCTGTTTAGGAAGCCTAAGATGATATGATGATGATCTCACCAGTGGTGATCGATCGTCTAAGTAGTAAAGAAAAGTTTGTTTAATAGCTACAGACGAAGATTCGGGTCTCATTTTCTTTACTACTATGTACCATGCAAAGCCGAGAGCAGCAGCCAGTACTCACATATCAATCAATACGCCATCGCGCGTCACAGACTTTTGCATCATTTTTTAATATTAAAAATATTAATGCATGTCTTCAACATTTAGATATATGTTACAAAGGGCGTCGAATCTCCACAATTAACAAGGGAATGCCGACTGTGGCACCCTAGCATTACAAGTTATATTCAATAATAATAATGTATATTCAGGTTACAACACCAATTCAGTGGGGTCTCGGAGCAAGAAAACGCATGTGTGTGGCAACTAGCACTACGAGTGTGTGCGGCGCGTCTGTGTGCGTGCGCAAGCGCGCCGGGACCGGGCCCGGGGACGGTCGTAGCCACCGGGGACAAGGGCGGAGTGGCCGCCGCACTGTCCGCTGCCGCCGCTCTCACTCACCACGCTGAGCTGCTAGATAGACTACTCGCTTCTGTGGGTACGTAGTGCACAAATACTCGTATACGCTTACGTTTAAACATATTATGTTAAGATTTTTAATGAATATTAACACGTTACAGGAGTGGAACCGGATCCCTTCACAATAGCAGTATTCCGTCAATTGTCGATGAACGCAGACCATAAACCACCGGCGTTGGCGCGTGCTATCCTGCCGCTGCTACAGTCAGCACCGTTGCCGGTGATACCAAAACCTAGCCTCAAGGTAAATTGTTGAAAATTTAATTGGAAATAGCGAAATTAATCATTGTATTTAAAAAAAATAGGTGAACAATATGATAATGAACATTAAATTAATATGATTAGCCAGAAGTCAAAGCTGTCCCTTTTTAATGCAACAATGAGAAAATACCTACAACACTCATAACACTTCTGGTTTCTCTTAACCTGGCCAACTAACTCTTCTAGTCTCTTTATAAGAATAAGTATTGCACGGACCCGTGCACGGCTTGTATCTTTATTGACGTTCTCTATATTCTATTTCTAAATGCTTACAAACAACTTAAACATCATATGCACGATAGGCGCTATAAAGACAACGGCGTTAAATTAACCAATAGCATTGTTCTTTAGATTCGTATGTGCACCGCGAGTATATTAGAGCCGCCCGCAGATAACGACACGGTGGTGCGGTTCAGTGCAGGGCTGGTGGCGGGGGTTGCGTTAGAGGCTGAGGTGTTGCGCGTCCGTAACCCACAGGCACTGAGAGTGCGCGTGGCCTACCCCGACACGAGGATACACGCTCTTGTACCGCCTAAGGACCATCTACGACCACTTGACCATCAAAACACAAGTATGTTTTAAAAGGACTGAAATAGTATCTCAACAATTTAGCAATGAAACTAATTGTACCACTTTTTTCATTCTCTTGTTTTTTTTACATAAGTCGTACTGTTTGCTAACAGTATCTCATTCTGCCGCTTTATATCGTCACGTATAATACGTCACGTCAAATATTTATATTATTCTTTCTCTTCGTTAGTCACATTCTCTTTCTATTACTATAATATAAACAGAAGTAATAAGTTGGTTGACTTGCAGACGAGGACGGCACACAGAACGTGCGGCTCCTGACCAAGGTGCTGATCTCGCACGGCGTGTGGACGGAGCCGTGCGGCGTGGACATCTCCGTGTGCCTCGCCGTGGACGACGGCGGCCGCGAGCCCCCGCAGCTCGTGGAGCTGTGCCGCCCCGTCAGAGTCACTGTCGCGCCCAAACCTATCAAACGGGGCATATAGACGACCATTCATATTCTAGAAGATTCTCCACAAAACAAAACCCCTACTATACTGTAGGTACAATGTATTTGAAACAACTACAACATTCTCATTCAAGCGGCGGTAGCCTAGTGGTTAAGGCGTTGGACTTGCGATCAAGGGGTCGTGGGTTCAAATCCTGACCAATACACTCAGTAGATCTTTAAAAAAATATATGACACCAAATGGTTTCCTGTTGTAAATTTTAATAACTTAAGAAAATAAAATAACTTAAGAATAACTCTCAAAAACTATGTGTAAAAGCGTTTTTTACTAATTAAATTATTAGGAATCGCAATATTACTAAAACTAAGTTAAATAAAAATTTAAATATGCATAATGTGTTTTATTCATATTTTTACACGACAACACAGCTTATGCCTGTGCATACTAAACATATCATACATAGCAAACTTAACAAAACATCACAATCTTTTTCCTAATAATAAAAAAGTACATTTAAATGAAATTTTAAGGTATAAAAATATACTCTATCAACTAAAGATTATACACATATATTTGTGAACAAAATGTTGCAACATTTAAATAAATACGTACTAGTTTAGACTCGTGTTTTAAATCTTTTATAATCTGTATTTACATGAGCAATACTGTTAAATTATAAGTTGCCTAATGCAATGAGCATGCGAGAGTGGTTTCTATATTTAAAAGTTTGCATTTAACTATGTTAAGCAGACCAAACAGGCTGTGGAGAAGAAATATCTATACTACTTGTTGATAACTATATATATATATATAGATACTATTCGATGATTGACTATGAACAAGCATAGCAGAGTAGCCGTTTACACACAATGCATGTCAATAATTAGACTACTTACAATTTGCTCATACAAATTTACTGCTTTTTCCACACACACATTTCAAATTAACACAGTAAATAATAAGCAACGTAATTTATACAAAAATAGTTATGATGTGCTCTAAAGTACGAATTAACATAATATGTCAACATTATTGTACTTAGATATGGTATGTTTAATTACTTCGGTTTCTTGCATATAGCTGAAAATGCGCTTTCAATTACGCCTTAAAGTCACAGGAAAGAGGCTTGCGTTTTTTTTTTCAGAACAACAAAGACTATCCCATTATTATACTGACAACCTCCCAGGATCTTACTTGGATAATGTCTGGTTACAATTTATTTCTAAAACATTTCTAAACCATTTTTTAGATTGAGTATTAACCATTGTACATATTGTTGGCATTTGCATCCAGAGGTTGACAAGGAAAGCATTCATGTTAATAACATAAAAATTAACAGTATAGGTAGTAGTAGCTATTGTTATATAACATCAAAGGCAATCAGTGTATGTAGACTGCTAAGTTCGAATAGTTGGTTATTCTTTGTCAATAGAGAGTAATTCAGAGCGAGCAATACAGTGGTGTATGAGTTGCTTGATTCCTGGCATCCAAGTACCTACTGCACTTACATGGTCTACCATTAGCGCCCTGTGGATATCGTCAGCTTTCCTTGGAGTATCGTCTTGTAGGGCTGCAACCATAAAATTTGTGTAAATTTTAATAAAAGCAAAATAATACATTACCTATTAATGTAATGTATCAGAATACTTGGCTTCAAGTGCTTAACTTAATGCAATATACATTCATTCTTCAGAATCCATTTCAAATCACGTATTATCAATAATATGCTTGCATTTGTTTCACAACAATAAGGAGCTATAGCACTGATACAGTATTGCGTTTTTTAATTTAGGCACCAAGGCAAACATACTTTCCGCATGGAAAACAAAAAAATAAAAAATAAAATAATACAATACTGTATCAGTGCTATAGCTCCTTATTGCTGTGAAACTTTATTTGGTAATGACACAACACGAAAGAAAACAATTTGTTGTGTTAATTTTTAATGATAATGTTGAAATTGCTCAAGTTCAGGCACGCAAAACAGTCGAGAGTTTTATTTCATTCAGCACCACTTGGTAAGAGTTTATGATGTTAAATGTTAGATGGCGTTGTCAATAAGAGCAAACAATAGTAATCATTATTAAGTCTTGATTGCTTAAATTATAAGACTTAAATTGCTTGGCATAACAAAAATAACAGTTAATACCTTGTCGCAAGCTGAAATATTCATAGAACTGTCTAGTCTTATCTCACTAAGGGTAGGCTTTGATGCTAAATAAAAATAACTTTCAGTAGTTGACACAAGATCCCCATTGTATATCGCCCCAGATATCACCTGTTAGCTATTCAGCATTATATTACGTTCATTATACCAAAGACTACATTCCCAGAGGATATGATGAGCAGAATGTTCACAGTTAAGAGTCAGGTGTTTGGCATTGCTATAACAATAATGCTTATTTTTGGTCAATATAAAACCACTTGCGTGAAATACCTGAAACTGGCAGATGGTCATGAAAGTTATGCTGGCAAAATCCTATGCCTATTCCCCTCATCTCTCCTAAACTGCTAACAATGCTTTTATAAAAAAATGCACAAGAACATTCACGAGCTCTTATCAATATTAGTTAGCATTATAACAAAACAAAGACTTTTGTAAAGTAACTATTGCTCAAGTAACTCAATAATTTTATGTTAATTGACTTATAAACAAAAAGAACATATTATTTTACTCTTTTTGTTTAATGTTACCTAAACTATATGTAGATTATAAACTTACCATAAGCCAAATTTCTCATCTGCATAAATATCCTACTGTTCAATTTGCCGCTAGTCCACATGTTTTCCATGACATCTATCCTCCTCCTGATGTCGTCTGCTTTATTACCCAACTCAATACTGCTATCCAACAGATTGATGAATATTGCCTTTACTTCTTTCAAAGTACTTTCACTGTCAATATCTATCTGTTCTTGTTGTATGGTGGAAGTTAACGGCACTACTGGTGGAGGAGAAAATACTTGGGGCATCGGAGGCAAGTTCGCAGGAGACATAGGTGCAGGACTGGACGTAACGTTCGACATAGGAAAAGCCACTCTTTTATTCAAAATGTTTCTTGGTCGATTCGGTGTAACCTGAGCGTTGTAAGAAAACTTCGGAGGGTCATTCCAGCCTGGATCTATAGGTGCTAAATAAAACGGAAAGATAATGATTGCAATAGTTACAGGTAATAAAAGTTTTCAGTATATTTTTGTTTATACATACCTGAAACGCCTGTGTTTGGAGTGTAAGCACTATTATTCATCTTAAATACTTAAGAATACATACAAAACGTTAATAGGAAAACAAACTTATGTACATATATGTTACAATTATTAACGTAGAAAACTTCCTTTTCTTAACAATTCAACTTTTGTAGGTTTTGCACACAATGACACATTTAAGTTGTGACAGATTATTTAAGTATTTTGATAAACAGTGTCGCCAGCTATTAAACACGTTGATCCAATACATTTATTATATATAAATCTAATTTCAGAACAGAAGGAACATCGATCAGAGTTAAAAACATTTTAGAACGTACGATAATTTAAACACAAAATATTACAGAAACTACGTACAGAAAATTTAAATTCTAATACTTATCCTGAATCGCATTTATAACCCACAATCAATAAATGTTTTTTAAGATAAATATATTCGTTAAGCTTTATGGAATATATTGTTTCAGGGACGACTATAGCTTTCTAAAAGATGTGCTAATGTTCATGCAAAAATATATTTAATAATAAATAATAAAGTTTATTGTATCAAATACTTAGTACATAGATAGTTGTGTTCAGAATTTTCTTTTAAGCAAATAATGCTTGTAGTAGAAAAATTCCGCTCCTCCACATATTACATAGCATGATTTTTAACACAATAATTTGAGATATTAAGGTAAACTATTTGGAAACATTATTTCAAATACAAAGTGATACAAATTATTTATACTTAGAAATGGTTGTGTGCGTGTGTGTGTGTGTGTGTGTGTGTGTGTGTGTGTGTGCGCGCGCGTGTGTGTGTGTGCGTGTGTGTGTGTGTGTGTATGCATGTGTGTGTGTGTATCTCATTCTGTACGTTGTAACAAAGCCTCTGTGTCCTCGTATGTGAGTGGTTTTATCCACTTTACTAGTGTTCTTTTGCAATCATAATATTTTTTTGTGTATATGTTTATCTGTTTATTTATTCTATTATATAATTGAGCTGATCGTTTAATATATTGTATAGATCCAAATTTGGTATTTGTTGACGGTATATCCGCTATATTGTACTTTCTTCTCTTGCAATTTATTCCCACTTTGAAAGGCAAAGACTTATGCTTTTTTAACACCGTTTGAATTACATACAACTTTCTGACAGAAAGTACATCACTCATTTGATACAGACTTACAGTAGGAAATCTATGTATTTTAAAATTCATAATCTTTAGAAGTGCGCGTTGTGCTCGTTCTAGATTCATGAATTTAGTCTTGGCTGCCCCTCCCCAAACCGGAATACAATATACAAGCACAGGTTGCACCAACGCAAGGTAAATTTGAGTAAGTAGATTTCTAGAGGGGCTTTTCTCATTAACTTTTACCATTGATGCGACATGTCTTAGGGTTTTGAATAACAAGCTGAGCTTTCTAATTCTGGCAGTAACTTGCTGATACCAGGATAGTCTATTATCCACTATTACATATTTAGTTTGACACACTGACTTATCTAAGCTAAAACCACATTTAATTATTTTAGCCTCATCTATTCTCTGTAGCTGCTAAGCGTCTTTCTTTATGTATCATGTTGTTCTATCATAGTCATCCTTCTTATCGACAAAAACAGATCTTAAAAATAATTTTGTCACGAATGTTACGTAACTCTGTGATCGTAACCAAAACCAAATATCAGAAGAAATCTATCTGAAAATGTAAATCCTGCATGAAATGTACATGTTGTAATTAATTTTATTTCACGCTATAAATTACTATGTCATGTGTTTTTTGTGGGCAAACGAATAGACAGGTCACCTTATAGTTTCCAAAAAAAAAAAGTGAATACCGCCGCCCATAGGCCCTTGCAATTAAGAGTTACAAGCTACATTGTACTAATCTGTGGTTACAATTAGTGCAATGCCGTTGCCGTCTTTTGAGTCCCACGGCTTTTGATACTTCAGCAGTGGTCTTGAACCTACCCATTTTTCGGTATTTCTACCGATATGGGCTCTGTTCTACCGAAATACCGAAATATAACGATTTTTCTACGATTTCAGAGTATAAATGGAAATTCTCCCAATTTTTCTACCGATTTTACACTTTTAAGTTTTCAACCCTTTTCATTTATGTTTAATGTTACGGGGAAGCCCCTAATAGTATGAACCTAGTGCAGAATGGTCCATATATTGTGGGGAATACCCTTGTATCCTACAATTGGATGTTATTAAGGGGCTTCCCGCTGGGGAATTTACCTGTCTAGTCTATATAAACAGGAATTCGGTTTTATTTTTTTCATTAATTTTCTTAGCTTTTAAGAGAGAGTACCTAACCTAAAGAGTGCCTACAAGCACAAGTGTAAGTGTAAGTAGAAAAAATTATGGAGCACCTACCGAAGCTGATGCAAGCCGTTTGTCCTAATTCAAAAATTGCAAAAGAAATAAAATGACCATCACTCATCACTCACGACCAAAACTCATGACAAAATTGATCATATTATAGGTAAAGAAAGTTTCAATAATTTATGTGAAGATCTAGGGCAAACTAAGTTTTCGCTTATTATTGATGAGTCCACCGATCTTAGAACAACCAAACACTTGTGCTTAGTCGTGAGATATGCGAAAATGAATCGTATTAAAGATTGTTTTTTAGCTCTTATTCCATTAGAAGAAGCTAATGCAGCAACCTTATTTGAACACATTGTAAACTTTTTTAGAAGCAATGATATTCCATATAAAAATAATCTAATAGGTTTTGCATCTGATGGGCCAAACGTAAAGATGGGACGTAATAATTTTGTATTAACATTGCTGCAAAATGAAATTCCCAACATTTTTATACTTAAATGCGCCTGCCATTCGTTTCATCTTTGCGCGTCATATGCTTGTACCAAATTGCCACGCTTTATAGAGGATCTTGTAAGAGACATTTACAACTACTTTTCTTCTAGCCCAAAAAGAGTGGCAGGGACTTAAAAGTCCATAAAATACTTCACCCCTCTCAAACACGCTGGTTATCAGTACATTCATCAGTGAAGAGAATATTGGAACAACTCTCTGCTCCAAAACTATTTTATAGACCAAATCTCTAATAATGATCATCTTTTAGCTGCAGAACATATATTACAGAAGCTCGAAGATCCCACCACGATATTATTTTTGGAATTTTTAGATTTTGTATTACCATTATTTACCGATTTAAATAAAGAAATGCAAGCAGAACACCCGAAAATTTATAATTTATATGAAAAAATAACTGGAACATTAAAAACGATTTTTGATTGTTTTTTTAAAAAGAGAATATTAAACGGAAATTTTATGGATATTGACGCCGTATACTATGGTGCTGCTGCGTCTAATACACTACTAAGTAGTTTAGAAAATCTAAACTCAGATCAAGTAAATTTGTTTAAATGCAGATGCCTAGATTTTTATATCAAGCTTGTAAGCAAATAACCACGCGGTTTCCATTGAAAAATAATCCAATAAAAGGTTTAGACATAATTGATCCAAAAAATGTTAAAATTGGCAAAACTGCTTCGATAGTTCCTGTGAGTAGGCTCTTTCCCAATATTGTTTAGAGCAATGATTTCCAGGAAATTGATACAGAGTGGCGCATTTTAAGAAATTGTGAACAAATCAAAATATTTCCTGATGATGTGGAACTATTTTTGGATGAAGTAAGTTTATTAAATCGTGGCGATGAAACTCAAATGTTTCCTTTGTTGTCTAATTTCATCTTTAATATTTTATCACTTCCCCATTCATCCGCTAACGTTGAACGCATATTTTTACATATTAACCTTTTGAAAACAAAACAGCGAAATAGGCTGTCGACTGAATCAATCACTAATCTATTACATTCAAAACGACTTTAATACAGCTAATTGTTATGATTTTAAAATTAATTCGAAGATGACCGCGGCTATAGCCAAAGAATATTGGTATAATAAATAATTATACTTAAGTGTAAGTTTTTTTCAATAAATAAACGAATTTGATTGAATATTGTATTTTTTTGTCAAATACCGATTTTGAGTACAAATATACCGATTTTAGCTGGCAACTTAACTCTCTCTGTAAAAAGCAGCTTAACACTGATTTTCTGAGAGGCTGTAGTGCATTCTGGTCGAGAAAGCCCATTCGTGTCGAAACATCCCTCTCCCACTCCCACCATCAAATCGACTATCACCCGCGGAGACTCTGCATGTAGACATAGTAAAATTCGAACGATGTCAAGCTCAGCTTATCTGTTGACTTGACATATTAAGCTGTCAACTTGACGTCAAATCGATTTACAAAGAGGTGCGTTAAAACAAGGGGAGTGACCCGCGGAAGTTTATCGGCGAAATTATGGCGTTTTTAAGGCAGACATGCACAGTAACAAGTGTATTATCAATATTTATTTTAATCACATTATTAGCATCTACTACAGAAGGTAAATAACGGTGTATTTAATTTTTATACGTGAATGTTTTGATGTATCGTGCGTGTTCTCAAGCACTTCTAATAAATTACGTGGCCTTTTGATATAGGATGAAACGGATTTGAGTACAATATTTAGGTATTATGAATTAATACTACTATTTTATTAGTAAGGGTTTATCAAGAATTCAATATTTTCAGGATCTAAAGCAGAATTTGTGACGTGCGGTAGTATCATTAAACTAATAAACACAGACTTACGATTGCGGTTGCATTCACACGATGTCAAGTACGGTTCTGGCTCCGGGCAGCAGTCAGTCACGGCTGTCGACGTGTCTGATGATTATAATAGCCATTGGCTGGTGAAGGCACCCATGTCTAACGCTTGTAAAAGGGGGTGAGTTCAGAATGGAGTAGGATAAGGTTTATAGGTTCTTGTTAGTTGAAGTTTATAACTTGACCATATCTTATAATTTCAAAACTTTTGAACTCTGTAACTTTCCCATGACCTACACTATGTATATTCTAAGTTAGGCAGATTAATTTGTCAAAATGATGTTTTTTTTGGTCTACATAGTAAAGACTGGCAGGCCTTGTCCTTGTGGATGGTGTATTGTTGGTTTTTTACTTGCAAAGGCTGATCACCTTCTAATAATTGTGTTTTACCCTACCTTTGATAATTTTTTTTTTTTTTTTTATATAAATGGAAATATTATTTCTTTTATCAAAGATTATGTAATTGTTACAGAGTGCCTATAAAATGCAACAGCGACATCCGCTTGCATCATGTGGCTACAAAGAAAAATTTACACTCTCATTATTTCTCATCACCACTGTCAAGTAACCAAGAGGTTTCATGCTATGGTGATGAGGATGGAGAAGGGGACAGTGGTGATCACTGGTCTGTAGTCTGTAACAATGACTATTGGAGAAGGGACACGCCTGTCAAATTCAGACATCTTGATACTGGAGCGTAAGTTACTTAATGGTTAACATAATATCTCTAACAAAGACAATCTGATTTAAAATTTATGTTTTAGGTATTTTTTTGTATTACATTCATTCTTCTTAGGAACATGAAAACCACAAAGCATTAATACTTGTATAGTTAATGTTTTTTATTGTTCATCTTCATCATCAACAGCCTTAAATAGTCCACTGCTGGATATAGGCCTCACCTTAGAAAGGAGGTTTTGACCTACTATACCAAGCTGACCAGACGGGTTGGTATAGGATTTGTGCCAAGTTTTCCTTTTCTTTTGCTGTTGTCCTGCGTAGTTTGCTCCCTTACTTCCCTTTGGCTCTTACAACACCCACCGGATAAATAGGGGTGGTGACACTCCTTATTCTTAATCTGTCACCACATGGATTTATTGTTCAATAATGTGAATTCTGAAGTATCAGTACATTCATGATAGGCTGTCATGTCAGGCTTCTAAATTGGTTGTTACTATGCAGCAGTGCCATTATTTATGCTTAAAAACTAGATCAAAGAAGATCAAAAATTCTTGTTACCAATGTGAAAGTCTATAGTCCATCTAATCTAAGAGGTGCCGTTTGACAGTTCTGATGGATTGAAATATAGCAAAGGGGTCAAAGAAATGGATTACTTAAATATCTGATTTTGAAGAGATTTCGATATCATTTCTTTGTATATACTGATTGATTACAGTTTAACAGATTTATGTATGTTACCTACTATAAAAGCCCGTGAAATATTACATTATAGGTTTTACTTGGACACAAGCCATTTTTGCCTTCAAAGATTTATTTAAAATTACATTTACTTACATACTTTTAATTTTAATTATGCCTCACCACGCTGCTTCGTACTGCACTGAGTGTTGTAGGTTCGATCTGCACATGGGACAACACTTTATGTTATCCACAATTTTTTTGTTCTGACTCTGGGTGTTCTTTGTGTCCAAGGCCAATTGTAATATAAAAAAAAATTAAATTGAATCTAGGGTGTGTTGCAGCTATTAAATAAAGAGATGTTATATGATTAACAGGCAGTTTATTTATCCTGTAGTGTCTGTAGAGTACATGGAATATTATAGGTCTAATTACAAATGTTGTGGAGTTATCATTATTAAACAAAAAAGACGCCTGGACTGATTTACGAATTACTTGTTATTAATAAATTCGTACATTTTAACGATTATCCGTATTCAGGTAAATTTGATGAGCCACAACACTACGGTAAAGGACCTAACTATGTGACTATGAAATGAAGTTTGAAAAAAAAACATCTATTGTGTATAAATTGGTTATTTACCTTTGTTTTAATGATTTAAATTTAGTCATTAAGAATTGGATATCTTGCGACAAAATGAAAATAACTGCATATAACTCCATGGTTTTACAGAAAAGGTTATTGAAATTGTGTGAGTTATGCCTATACAAGTAGTCGCTGTTTCGTCTTTAAAAGTATAAAACGTCAAACATCTTAGATTAGATGGACTATAGTGTTGCAACAAATTTATGCTTCTACATACCTACACTGTTTAACTGATGCACTATTTATTTCTAATATATTATGTATTCATTGTTGTCTTCTTAACAATATTATAAGATTGTTTCAATATTTTTTAATGCCTTGCAGGTTCCTGGCAGGATCCGGGCGCACATTTGGTCGCCCCATCAGTGGACAGGGTGAAATTGTAGGAGTATCATCCCAATACGGTGCATATACTGACTGGCAAGTCAAAGAAGGCCTCTTTATTCACCCTGGAGAACAACTACCACACCAGCATGCAATTCATTCAGAGTTATAATGTTATTATTATTAAAAACTATGTTATTATGTTTTTAAGTTATTTATACACTCTTAGCCAAAAAGTTACAATATACTTTATTATCTGACCACCTCCAGTGCAAGTTTTTTCTGCTGTCACCTTAATGTGAATGGTAGAAAAAGAAAAAAAAAACCATTAGAGTTTAGAAATGATGCATGATTCAATTTGATTATGTGTTTTTAAGATACTAAATAAGACCAGTAACGTATTTAATTTTGTTTTGTTTTATTTTTAAAAATCTCATTATTTTCTCTTTTGACTCGAGTTTTTATTGGATTAAAATTTATAAATTCCTGCAGTGTGAATGGTACATGTCTCCTCGGTGTTAAATCATTATTCCTGACTTTTAGATAAAGAAGAACAATATAAAAAAGTGCCAATAACACTTGAAATTGAAATATAGTTAATAAATATTAAATCTAACATGACAAACATCCATACATTAGTTTTATATTTACGGAGTAAAAAGGTCAGCCCTTAGGGAAGGCAACATAATTCAATTCGACGTATTTAATCCTTCAACTGAAGGCATACCTACATACTTCTTTTGCCAAACAAACCCGAGCAATCCTTACTCCCTATTAATAAGTAGTTTTACGCAGGAGTTGAGCAGTCTCAGGAACAGACAAAAACGAACTTTCAACTTTAATCATTCATCAAACTGATCAATAGGATCATAGTTCATTTTTAGCTTAACCATTCTGAATTATTCTTCAGCCGCCAGATTGTAAATGCAGCCGCGACTCCCCCCATGGTAACACTAATTCATAAATTCACCGTAATTACCGAAATCCAACTACCTACTAATTATTATTATTTTTAAAAGACTAAGACGCATTAGGAATAAGTATATCCTGTGTCGCGGGGGACTTTACAAACATACATGAAACGGACATAAAGAACACCCAGACTCAGAACAACAATTTGTGGATCACACAAAGTGTAGTCCCATGTGGGGATCAGACCACGGGCTTGGTATGAAATTTGCTGGTAGGAAATTTCTCAGGCGGTATAGAGCCCGAAGTGTTCCAGTAACCCTCTGGCACTGATTTGCAACTTGCAAGATCTTTCACCGATTGACAAACAGGAATGGTAGTACCGTTAAAAATAATAGCCGGAAGAGTCTCAATGTCTACTCTGCTCATCAATCGCTAAACAAGGAAAATGTAGCGAAGAAAATGTTAGGAATGGGAGTTGTTGCTTTACTCACCACGCTGTTGTCTGCAATAACGAACAGTTAGTAATGGGCATTCCCATGGCAAGAAAGGAAAGTATCATCTCACTTTAACGAAAAAAGTTGAGAAAACACACGACTAACAAAAAATGCAGATACGTAACTCGTTTGGGGGCGCGTGCGTTGTTAGTCGCAATACTATTGGAATGATTGGTTCAACCAGTACAACTGAAGCAGTTCGGTTCGAATGTTCATGTGACTTGCCGGACGAAAACTGGACATTTTAAGAATTGGACATTGTGTGACTAAACCGGATAACTGCATCTAGAAAATCACTACAGTACAGGATAGTTGAGAACAAAAAAAAGAGGCCAATCCATTTACACTGGCGTCTAAGGAAGGCGTTCTTCTTAAGTCAATTCTATGGTTTGATTGACATTTTAAGAACATTCCTGTCTAGTTTTAGTCAACATTAATGAAATATGAATTAGGCAGTCTTTACTGTTTACAATGCGATTAAAAATGTGCAAAAAAAAAGAATTTTATTTTTCTAATAACTTTATTGTCAAATAGTTATGTTATTATATTACAATGATGTGAGGTAACAGACCTCTGAGAAACTTTCGAGTTACAAATCAGAAGTGCTTCACCACCATCGAATTTGCAATAATACTGACCTTTCACATCTGTAGACCTTAACTAAACGTAATTTTGAACCTGGTAGTGACGGCATCCTAGTGTAATTCTCAATAGTGTACTAACACATTTTTATCCGATGTTACTGAAGCACAGAAACAAGTTATAAAAATATAGTTAAAAAACTAAATAAAAATCTCTAAACGCAACCGAACTGCTTGCACCGCCGCAATCATCAGTCATGGTGCTCTCTGCCACTAATGACGTCAAGAGAATATTTAACTAAAATTTAACTTACTAAAGAACTTACGAACGCATTTATGTTGTGCCTATCAACTGTTCGTCAATTAAATAAGGTGTAAGAGATACCTAAGTAGCAGATAAGGTAGAAACTAGTGAATTAGGTATACAATACATTATAATTACATGTAACCTACACATTTTAAAATCAGTATAATGGTAAATGGTAAACAGTGTCCTGATTACAATTTGTATTTTGAGCAAAACTGCCCAAATAGTAATACAAAACAACATATTAGCATGCAGTTGACTCTTCCCGTATACACGCTAATTGTATGAAATGTACGAAAACAACTAAATAAATAATATAGCGTTAAAATCAGTGGACATAAAAGTAATTATTAAGAATAAAAAAGAGTACTGAAATTGATTTTTGAGACGAAATAAACTTTAACAAAATCATGTATGTTGCTAATAAACTAACAAATTATACAATATGTGCTCCGAATCACCTCTGGTGTATTAATCCTATACAGATCACAAATCTGATCGTCTTATTACGTATAGGCTAATTCATTATAATATTATGTACCAGTTCCGCAGTAGGGTGGTGACTAGCACAGCCTGTTGGCTAGTACACTGTTTAATTTCTCTAGCGCGTATGTGAGATTGGTATAGAGTTTCTTATCACAGCCATGCTCCTGTATAGTGCTGAAGGGGAATGTTCTAAAGTTCTTCTCTATGTCGATATACGTCACGGCTTGCATGAGTGGACACAGGATTATCTTGGTGTGGTCTTGGAAGTTAATCTGAAAAAATCGTTAGGTACAATTAAAAAATGAATCAATTAAAAATAGTTTCTAAATCTTTTAAAATTAACCCTCTGTTAATTTTACAGATACAAAGTACATAGAGCAAAGTCTGCAAATTACTGGAATTATGAGTGAAGTCAAAAATTATTTGATAATTGCGTTTTTATCCGAACGCTCAAAAGTGGTAGATAGTTAGGTTGCCACTTAAATTATTAAATATCATTATTGGTAAACTGTGAAATGTACCTGTGATTTTTTTTTGTAAAAAATATTTACTTTGAAAATAAGTTGTACCTACTTAAATAATAGTAATATTATATCTCACAAACTGCCATCTGATCCCAAGCTAGGCAGAGCCTGTGCCAAACATAACCAGGCTGCTGATAAACATACATATATATATTTTTTAATACATACATATTATAGATAAATTACACGCAGGCACAGAACTTATGACTATGCTCATCACACAATATTTGTCCTGGGTGGGAACCGAAGCCACAGGGTCATTAACCACAAAGTTGAAAACACTAATTACTTAAATCAATTCATTTACCTGTAGCGTTCCATTCGTAAGGTACATAATGACAGCCAGTGTAGTTCTGAACCATTGGTGTAAATGCGGTAGCCGAGATAAGCCGTCACTCTCACGCACCGGAACCGACGCACCTAAGGACAATCATTATCAATTAGTCGTTTTAACAGCAAACCGAATTAAAATGTAGAATTAGAAGGAAGTCTGCGAGGAACTCGGCAGCCACACCATTGAGTGTAGAGTCATGCCCTCCTTCCAGTTTATAAAAGCACGCGCGGAACACGTCGCGCCACCGTCTCAGACCTGCTCCTGCTAGGCTAACGGGCAGTCTCAACGTTACCCCCAGGCAGCGGCGGATAATCCTAAGGCAAAGTAGGCACGTGCCTAGGGGCGCGCGTACAATTTTTTAACAAAGAAAAAATTAATGCCTGACATAAAAGGAACAGTCAGTATGCACATACTTTTATGTAGAGATCCTTAAGGTTAACATCAAGGATGTATATTAGGTAATTGCCACTACTTCTTTGCTTTCATTTTCTGATACCTACGAAAATTAAGGCTAGTGCGTGTACACAAAAATACAGTTGCTACAACTACAGCAGTAGTGGGGATTACTCTATAGGTTGAAGTAATAGACCACACTATACGGTGCAAAGTTGTGGGCGGAAGCTCTGGGCCTCAATTCTGCTATTTTATGTTAACGCCAAGCCACTGTCATTCCATTGACACACTATTGAGATGCAATTGAGACGCCATTGACATCGGACAAAATATCAGTATTCTACTAACATAAATTCACAGTGTCAATAGACTGTCGATATAGTAATATAGGTCATCAATGGTAATATAAACACCATTGCCATACCTGGAAAATTAAATATATCATTTGCTTACAAATTGTAAATGTACCATTTACCAAACTGTTACAAAGACATCGACGACATATTTGTATCAGTGACAAGTCACTGGGAGGCCATTGGTCTTTCTGTTACTAGAATAGGAAAAGTGCAAAACTATTACGACGAAATTCCATGGACAGTCTATTGATACAATATTAAAATAGCAGAATTGAGGCCCTTATCGCCTAGAATAAGGCGCGCTCTTAGGGTGCTGGCGGATCTCTGCCAATTTAGATGCGGAAATGAGTGGCTAAAGGCCTCTTACCGAGCCGCGATGACTCGTTGGTCACCCCGGCTGGAGGCCTAACGTAATGGCTTTGACGCCATGGAAGCGGTCCAGCCGGTCATCGTCTAGTGAGCAGGGTGGCAGCACGGAACCCTTTCTTTCCGAATAAAGCGTGTCTTTTCTGGGCACGTCTGCTTAGGGATCACTCCACTCATCACTCCAATCATTTACCTCGTATCGACTGCTGGTCGATCACAAGAAGTGAAATGAGTTGCGCCTGTAACCACTGCAGTGCAGTTTGAACTCGGCTCAGCACACACTGGTCAACGTAGCGTTAGGAGTTCATTGCAGTCATCGGAGAGGGTTTCTTGCTACCAGCCGTTACACGCTCCATGGCTGGCGTGCCTTTGTGCGAGTGTAGTCTCAGGTGGCCGGGTTTTCCCCTCCACTGGCTGTGAAGGCCTACCGCGAGGAGGTGAAGTAGTCGTGTGGCGGACGTCTTCTAAATGAGAGTTTATAGAGAGAGAGGGCAGGCGTTAGGAGGGGTCCGGCGCCGTCCTCTACCCAAGTAGGCCCGGTCTCAGTCGGCGTGAACTGTCGAGCGGTTTTCCGCAGGGGTCAGTGTTAAGGTAGCATTCGGTTCCTCGGTCTATAGCTTTCCGATGTCGCGATGCATTGTATCCTTTTGCAGTGCGATATGTACGAATATTTTGCAGTAGCTAGGAAAAAAGCTATTCAGCAGCTGTTGGAGGATGAAGACGATGATTATAATCTGATTATGTTATTATCTATGCCACCGGAAAAAGAATTTCCTCAAAACATTGACTCAATTTCCACATTACGAGAAGAAGAGTCAATCAATTCTCGTCCTCGTTCGATGGAGACGCCGCCATTTTAATGTGCTTTTTAGGGCCGTTTCTGTCGAATATCGGCTACGACTGGGTGCTCCGCGGTGCCTTCTTGGAGGATGTCAGGGTCACGTGCTTCGCGTATTAGGAAGCAATCGTATCACAGTAGGGACACAAGAAATCGTGGACCAGAAATCCACACTCTGCCAGGTCCTCATGGAGGAGTGGAGGGAAATACTAGGGCAACCAAGCGCCGAGAACGCATTTATAGCGGCGGTAAGACCCGTTATGGAGGATTAAACAACGCCTGGGTGCAAACATTGCGGTGGCCTGAGCGTGGACACGGCGCTCAGAGGCGTGGCCTCGTGACGGCCATCGGAGTGAGGACTCTCTAGCTCCAGTACCATGATTGCGGCTACACTTTGAACTCCAACACCTCCCTCTGCGAAGTTAAAGTTATGCTCGAGAAAAAGAGGGTGAAGCGGGAAAAAAAGAAAGGCCCGGACGTCTTAACAAAAGCTGTTATCGGACCCCTCCTATTTCAGGCACGTGTGTGGTTTTAGTCGATGCGATTCCGATACACCGTCCCACCGCAACCAACCCGATGACATCCCATGTACCCACACGTGAAGAAATAAAAGTTCTAGTAAAGCTATGACAACTAAACTTTGAAGTCATTACTATCACACATATGGACGTCGATGAGATGCTGGCCTAGGGCGCTCTTGATACTTAATCCGCCCCGGGCACTTACGGTGGTCGGAGATCGTTCCCTCTCCGGCATCGTGGGCGCGTTAAAACCCATAAACATAATTATATAATAACAACAATAAAAAAATACAATTAACAGATTGTTATTATATTTCGGCATTTTATTTTTCTAACGTAACATTCGACTTACCGGCTTTCATAAGGTGCTCAGTCATATATCTTCTGAAGTAAGTGAGAAGTTTCATCTTCTTGTCTAGTTCTTGTGGGTAGTCACGCATCGTCATATACTGCTCTTGGCCCTGCCGATTGATGTAGTGCACGTTCCTAGGATGAAGTGTCATGTCAGTTGCTCTATCTTATACTTTTAAGTACATTAATTGAAAACTATTATATTGAAATGTAGAAGTTTAAACGCATGGTGTGATGCGTTTAACATGAGTATTCTATATGTAAACATAAACACATTGCTTTTCGTAATATTATAATCTTACTGTTAGCAACACAGTAACTGATCTTATTCTTGGTGTTGTTGTATAACAATTTCAATGTACTTAGAACAAGACATGAAAAGTTAAGTCTTGTATATATGCATTCAGTATGTATTGGACTATAACAAATAAATAACCATGTATTTATATTTTTAGTTCTAGACTTTTAACAAGCATTTTATAAAAGTTTACAAATGAATCTACCGTGGGAGAGCCATGCTTCGGCACGAATGGGCCGACTCGACCGGAGTGATACCACGGCCTCACTGAGTGAGTGAGGTTACCGGAACCCAAATCCCCCCTCCCGTTGATTCGAGCGGGAGAGACTCCAAGGGCAGCAACGCACTTGTGATTTTTAAGTTTCAGGTGTCCATGGGCGGCGGTAGTTGCTTACCATCAGGTGACCAGTCTGCTCGATTGCCCCCTTATGCCATAAAAAAAAGAAAATGTATCTAGTTATATGACAACTGACACAAATAGTGTACTTACAGTCCATTAGCAAGCATAATAAGCTTGGTGGTATCATTAAACATAACGCCAACGCTCTCGTCGCACAGCTGGTAACCGAACCCATACTTGTCGCTATAATCTACCCACTTGCCAACCCATACCAATGGTTGCGCCGCTGGATCCATCAGTTCGTCGGTAAGAGCTTCAGCACGACATTTAAGCTGTAATTAAAATTTATTATTTAAAACCATACGCCATACATATATTACAAAGACTGGGATGTACCCCGCCACTTTTATATAATGATTTTATAAAAGAATGTAAGTTAGGAATAAGTTTTATAAATTAATAATTATTGTATGTTATTATAAAATCAACTTACTAAATTAGACTATTAAAAATTAATTGAAGTAATTGTATAAATATAGTACCTTGCTGTCAAGCAGTGCAGCAAGCTGGTCGCGGAGAGCGATGAGGTTTTGTTTGTGCGAGCTCGGCTCCACGGCGCGCGGCTCGCCTGCCGCCGGCTCGCGCTTCACCGGAGAGTCCACTGCCATCGCCACATGTTCTGAGTACATTAACAACACTCGTATTACTATAATACAGCAGGAAACTTTAACACATTTTATTATAGTTTGTTTTACGGATCACGGTCGTAAGGTTAAACATTTATAGCAATATTACCGTTAGTATTGACTTCGTTGAGTGGCCTGCGGTGCAACGCGATGCCCTCGAGCTGATCGGTTCTCGGAGCCGTCGTGAGGCACGACAGGGGCAGTGCGGCCGGCATTATTCCCGACGAGAAGAACTCGTGTTGTAACAGTTTGTCTACGGACGGCCGTCGTGCAGGGTTTGACTGGAGCTGTAATACTATCATTGATGCCGCCGGCTTGCGCAGTGACGACGGAATCCTATCAAAATTTTATTAACATAGAGATTAAAAACGTACTAATTTCGTGGGAACCAATGTTTATGAGATTAAGTGTGTTATTATTCCTGTTTACATAAAATGATTGTACTAATTGGTAATGATAATTTAGTGTCTGAGTAGTGATTAGGGGAAAAGATTGATAAACATATACAATGATGTTAACACAGCATATAGTCTTATCTCCCTATATTTGGCACGATAGCACACACATGAAGCATTAAAATCACCAACAATCTGTACAATATGCATGTTTTGTTTATGAATGAGATCAGAAATGATGTTTAGTCATCACGAAGACACGGCCACCTTCACCACAAAGCGTATTGACAACAATGTGGTATCCACCTGTAATGTTGATTGACCGTATTATCGTCGACTAAGGCCCGAGCGTAACGACTACTCAACGAGTGCCATGGCCCCGTGCAAAATACGCTCATCGCTAGGTACACTCCCTCGCTATTTAACAATACAAATTACATGGTTTACTAGAAATAAAAAAAAACAACTTTGAATTGGCTCTTATTATAATTTAATGAACTGTTATACCACTAACGCGAAAGCGTTTCAAAATTCTAATAGAAAAAATAAAACTAGAAAGATCTTATTGAATAATCTTCTCATCGACGCAACAAGAACACACCAAAATCTTGGTAAATTTCTTATTATAGATGTAACACACTCGTTACAATTCATGGCGTGAATGTAGTCTTTGGCCCAAAATGTAAATATGCCATAAACGATCGAGTCTAAAGTATAACGCCTTATTTTTAATATTGTCATGTCCGTCTTTACTTCTGCTGGAGTGGGGATAACGTATCTGTGTTCGCTCCGCTTGGAACTTAAAACAGAGGCCATAGTGCGAGTTTATTTCACATCTATTTGATCGTCACGGTGAGCGCGTTCGGCATTTCGATTGGTCCACGTTGAACTCGACACCAATCACAGCGCAGAACGCGGTTATCGTAACGATAGAGTAGAAGTGAAATAAACTTACACTACGCCCTCCGGAGTGGCGAAGAAAAAAGAAAGTCGGTCAAGAAAGCCGTTCCATCTCCTCGGGTCCTCAGGCAAAGTAGCGCCGTGGTAATTTATATTTACGCTTTAAGAGGGTTTGCTGTTCATCAGAGTGGGGACTTTGACTAATGGCCTAAGATACCAGTAATTGTGAGCGCAATCAATTTTAGATGAAAAACTAAGACGATTTAGTCAACTCCGTCATAATCGCTTTCTATCGCATTATCATAATCGCTTTCTATCGCATTGTAGCGCTCTGGGCGGGACGATTTTGATTTCGGCTGAAAATGTATAATGAATCTCTCGAATGGAAAAAACTTTTAAAAAAATAAAAATGTGTACTTAAAATCTTATCCATAAGTAATCATAAAACATTCAATCACCTTTGTATCAGGTTGCGTATTTGTAGATATCGCAAGAGAAACATAAAAACCGGTTTACTGAAGATGTTAAAATACAATTTAGATCTTGTTAAAGAGTAGACGGTTGGGCCTGCTTGAACCTGTTTTCTATCAGTACCAAAATAACAAGACTATTATTATAAAGCATTCCATATACATTTCTAATAAATTTTAAATATTTGTTACATATTATTGAAAGAAATTGTTTGGGTACAGTCACACTACTACAAATTCATACAGTAAGAGAAATTTGATAATCGACACAGTACAGGTAAACGTTAACGTATTATCGCACGTCTAATTAGGTAGTACTGATTTCTAAGTATTAAAGACAGAGATAAATGAGAGCTGCTTGAAAAAGATTTACTGTTTTTATAAAAGACTTAATGTGTAGAAAGGTAATTAATAGAATTGCATACCTATATTCACATTGTTTGATCCTTTTATATGTATCTTTGAGTGTAGAAGTTTCAAACGGCGGCTTGCCAACAAGCAGAGTATACATGATGCAGCCCAAGCTCCAGATGTCCACTTCAAAGGAATGCCCCTTTTTCGTCAGTATCTCTGGTGCAATGTAATTTGGCGTGCCGCACAGTGTTTGCTTTCTCTCTCCTGCAAGAGTATTTTAAAGAGTAATTCAAAGCAATGTTGTCGGCCGGCTCGGCACAGAAAACCGCTGTTAAGCGATTATTTCGTTTTTCACAGAGAGTAAGGTGACTGGAACCTTGGACTCTTGAGGAGCTGATGTCCACGGGCGGCCGATAGTCACTTATCCATCAAGTCCCCCGCATACCATAAAAACATAGATATTATGGAAGTTTTTATATAATTTAAAATGGTGAATAACTATTAACCTTCATATTCAATCCTAGCAGCAAGTCCAAAATCTCCAATCTTGACATGGAGATCGTCATCAAGGAACAGGTTCCCAAGTTTCAAGTCCCGATGGATGATGCGTTTGCTGTGTAAGTATTGCACTCCAAGGAGAATTTGGTGCATATAGAATCTTGTCTCTGGCTCTGAGATTGCCTTTCTTCTCTTGTGCAATTCCATCATAGACTAGGGAAAGAGAATTCAAGTTATAGACTGTAAAGGTGTTTAATAAATATATTTCTAAAGTGGTAGCTGTATTATTAGCATTCTGAGTCTTAAACATGATTATATGTGAGTAGCCAGATATTCACATATATGTATGAATATGTGTATAGTCACATATTTACATATATGTATGATTAGTTATATTTCACATTAAATAGTTATTACATTGACTGAGTCTCATACTTACCCTTCTTTTGCATAGTTCCAATACAATATAGATATTGAGTGAGTCTTCAAAGAAGCTGTGGAAGCCCACTACATGTTTGTGCTGCAGGGAACGGTGAATAGAAATCTCCTGTGCCATCTTCTCTTTCTGGCTGGATTTCACCATGAGCTTCTTTGATACTATTTTGCCAGCCCATACTAGGTTAGTGGCAATGTCCTGAATTTCATAGCACTTGGCAAAACCACCCTAAAATATATATATATGTTTTATTATATTTATTCAGATTGATGTTAATATTAACAACAACAACTTGACATATCTCACATACTAGGCAGAGCCTGTACTATGGTAACCTGACTGCTATTAACCATACTTGCTTGAAACCGTATTACCACGGCAAGTCAAAACTCATCATAATTCAAAATAGTTAATAATAATAATAAATTTACAATTCTCACACACAACATGGTGATTCCAAACTAGGAAGAGCTTGTGCTACGGTAACCAGATTGCTGGTAAACATACATATTATAGATTATTTAGACCCAGATTCAGAACAAATAATTGTGTTCGTCACTTAATATTTGTTTAGAAGTCATAGAATGAAGGACAGTATGGTTTGGACTGTACTCTATAGAGTACTTTCATTGCAATGTTACGTTTATATGTAATATATGCGTATACACAAGTAAATCAAGTCAAAGTCATGATCAATTCGTATTTTTTTTACTAGAATTGCATGTAATGCAGAACATTGATTTCAATTGTAACTATGTCTATATTGTATTTATAATAATTTTAATACTTCATTAATCTTGTATGTATCATGAAATGTATAAGGACATTTTTAATACAAACACAAGATGGTTACAAAAAGGAGAGGCTGGTTCAATGAATTCATATTTTTGAAGGATTAATTTATTAACATAACTATTAATAGAACTGAACTTGGGAATGCCAATAGTACACAAACATTACTATATTCTTAGATGATATAGAAGTGAATGAGACACATCTGTACGAATACATTTTAAAATGTTGCACCTGTTGGTAAACTCAAAATATTTGAAAATTAACCGACGAATTTATGATAAGTCTTGAATGGATACATATTTCATAAAACATAATAAACATTTATTTTATATAATAGCGTAATGGTTTGTTTGTAACAGCATAAATCAATAACGGTAATTCATGTTTGGTTTTCAAAAAGTAACAGGTGCAATGTCGTTGAACGTTGAGTTTTTAAGTTGGTAAAGATAATTTTCAAGCATTTCGATTATATTGGCTATCAAGGCTCATACAAGAGCATTTATATTATGATATTATGTATATTGAATCCAGTAAAACTTACCTTCCCAAAAAATCGTAACCTCTGATAGGTGCAGTTAGTTTGAGGATCATGTATGATTTCAGGTATTTCTTTCTTTTCGTCTTCTTTGATCGATGTCATTTTAAACTAGCTTAAAAATATAAAATTAGATAAAATAAATTTATGATATTACAATAAAACTATTGATGATTGTTGACAAATTCACAAAGGAGATTTCAAACGGCCATACGTTTGAATTAAACTTTGAAGGCTATTTGAAGTTTGAACGGTTTTAGTTTGAACCCAATAATAATGTATCGTTTTCTACCAGTTTGCGACGTGGGGTTGTTACAATTTCTACTACTTACCACAAAATTATAAGGAAAGTGATTTCTTAAGATTGTAAAATATCCAGTACTAGAAATACTTAAATAAAAATTTATATGAAGGAAAAGTAAAAACAGAAAACATTTTTAATTAATATATTATTTTGTAAGTTCTCGGAGGAAGAGATATCGTAAGTTTAAAAACAACGTAAGTTTTATAACAACAATTTAAGTTACGCTGGTTTTTAATATAAATAATGATAAAAGAGTTGTGTAGCTCCTGAGTGAGTGATCTAAAAGATATATGTCATTCACGCCGATAAAATGTATCACTCCCTCACACTAGCTCCGATTGTATCAGTAACTCAGTTCTAGCTCACTAGAACACTAGCTCAACAACGGCGATCTTTGTTTCAAGAGCGAGCGATATTTTGCCTAAAGAAACTAAATTCTCACAAAAACTCTTTTTTGTGAGAATTTAGTTTCTTTAGGCAAAATATACATTATTTTAACAGGATCAAATTTTAACATTCCTTATTTATTATTTGAGAATTAAGCCTGCCAAGTATGAAGGAAAAACAATTTATTATGTATGATTTTTAATATACACAACCTAATAAAAGGTACAAAAATATTGTACATATTTCTTATTTTTAATAATTTTATAAAAGGGTGTTAATAATTGTGTCTCTTAACAAAATGAAAAATTGTAGTAAAAAAAAATAGGTTTAAAAATGAACTTCCAAGAACTGAATTTAAGTTAATATGAGAATAAAGAAAGGTTTGTATGAGCGAGAGGTTTAAAGTGAGTGATTTATACTGAGCTAAACAATCTAGACTAGGAAATGAATGAATTGAGAGACCATTTTTTTTTAATTAATATTATTTTAACGGGAATTAACGCGATCTCTTATTTAGGGTATTACATACCTCTGGTTTGCCTGACGTTTCGACCAGGTTGCACCGGCCGTGGTCACAGGCTGACTTTTTTTTTTGCTAAGTGAGCTGGTGATTTAGATGAGTATTATATTTCTTTAGAGCGAAATGATGTATCTATCTTTTAGCTCAATAATACATTTTGCGCATCACTAAATGATAATCTACCTCTACCTATAGTCCATCTAATTTAAGAGTTCTTACAATTACGATTGTAGAATAGGGATCGGTCAAAGAAATCGATTACTGCAATATCTGATACTTAAGAGATATCTAAATAATTTCTTTGTATTCACTAATTGATTACTGTTCTCCTGATTAATGTATTTTTCTATAAAAGCCCGTGTTGCTAGTCAATTTTAGTATATACTAGATCTGACACGAGCGTTTTGTCTACAAAGATTTATTTAAAATTACATTAACTCACATACTTTTAATTTTATTTATGCATTTTCGTTGACATTTTGATGTCAGATGAATTTTAAGTATTATTAAACAATTAACACGCCTGGTTTGAAAATGACTCGTCATTCATAAATTGATTTTTCGTACACTTTAATGATTATTTGTATACAAGTGGATTTGAAGAGCCGCGAAGGACCTAACAACTGCACTTTGAAACAAAGTCTAAAAAAACAACATCTGTTTTGTATATATTGGATATTTTGCTTTGTTTCAAAGATTCAAATTAAATTTAGTCATTAAGAATTGTACATAATGTGATAAAATAAAAATAACTCCACAATTCCATGGTTTTACGGAATATGTTATTGAAATTGTGTGAGTTACGCCAATAAAAAGTTGTTTTGTGTTGAAAAGTATGAAACGTCAAACGGTACCTCTTAGATTAGATCAGAGGTGCCCAGATTTTTTTCTCATAGGCGACTTTCAAAATTTATCTGGTTCCGGTGGACCCCCTGCAGCTACATTTCTACCATATTCCCAAAACTCGACACAAACTGTGAAGCTTAGATCCAACTATGGCAGTTGTGTTGCGGCTGAGTTCCAATCACGAATTAATAGTTTTCTTAAAAAAAAGTGAGAATTGATTAAAAAAAGTAAAGTAAAGTTGGCTAATCAAAGAAGTGATCCCATCCAACTTTACTTTATCGACATCTACTCACAGCACAATCAATTAATTAATTAACCAATCAATTCTCACTTTTTTCGATTAGCACCACAAGTTCTATTTCGTCCATTTACACGTCTGAACAAGCGTTGCGGATGGCGGTGGCGGCAGCGGTGGCGCTTTGCAACTCTCGACACGTTGTACTGTATATGGAGTATGCAAGTAACATTCGCTGAGCTTCTATTCTTCTTCTATTCTACCTATCAATGTAGCCAGATAATATTATCTGTCTACATTGATAGGTGAAGTCAAGCCAACATTTTAGACACGCCAACGTAGACTTCCGTGGACTCCTGACGGTCCAACTTAACCACTTTGGGAACTAATCAATTAGATGGTCCCAAGTGCTCTTCGGTGTAGCCAATCTTTTGATTAGGTTTAAATAGAAACTTTGTTTCGACGAACGTAATCAATGATTTGGATTTATGAATATTGCGCGTTTAAACCATACTCAATAAACTACAGATACAAGAACTGTGGCCACCGTGGGAGAGTCATGCTTGGACAATAATGAGCCTGCTCGACCGGAGTGATACCACAGCCTCGTAGGAAACCGGTACGGCATCGCAGACCCACACCTCTCTCCCCATAACACTGGGGGTTATTAACCTAATGAGTCCGCAATTTTTTCTAAATGCTTGTAAAGTTAACCGAATGTCCTTTTTAAAGCACAATTTGGAAGAACTGCTTAAGTCCTAATACTTTAAGTATAGGCTTTAAAGAAGGGTTCAAAGGTGAAACATATTTCTTTGCTAGAACAAACGTTATTTGTAGAGACACAAAGATTATTTTAGCATGAAATTTAGAAATACTTAAAAAGGAATACGGGGCGTAAGACTAAGAACAAATGGTAACATTATCTCAAATAGAACACGCCTCATAATCAAAATAATGAATTTTCAGTATAAATCTACAGATTCATTGCACCTATTATTTAAAGTCTTATAATAATAAATATTTAACGATTTTCAGAAGTGCAAACCTACCTACTTAGGTTTTCATTTTAAGCTTATAGTAGGTAAATAAAAACGAATATGTTACTGTTCCGTAAATAATATCGTTACAAAAATAGTAACAAAAATTAGTCAGATGTATGTTCATGATTATGAAATACTTTAAAACAGTTTCTATTTGCCGTCAAGCAAAGCGCTAAATTGTAGCCTGAATATTCCACCAATGTTTTTTTGGAACAACCATTTATCGGTTAGTTATCTTCGTCTATGTGAACATTCTCTTCAATTAGTCTTTCAGTACTAAGAATTAATAATTAAATTCTCGCAGTTGATAAATTTTTTGAAGACGTTAGATGTCGTGTCTTACTGTTAGTGCTTATACTTTATCTAAGAATTGGTGATAGATAAATCCAAGCAATGCGAAATAAACCTAATTAACCTAAATTAGTCATTGGTCAAATGAATGAACAAGTGTTTTCTGATTTGCTAATCAAATGGTAAATACAATAGACGATGTATTTTGACATTGTTTTTTTTTTTTACAAATTGGTGCGAAATTCAAATCCAAAAACTAATTTGTGTGCTACTGTGCTGTGCTACTAAGGACGTTCGGTCATTATACTACAGTAACCCGATAAAAGTCGGGATTTATGGCGTAGAGCAAAATGTTCCTTTTAAAGGACGCCAAACCATGCGACATTTGATTTCTTGACCACTGGAGCTGTGGAAAGCAACCGACAATACCGTGCCTGTGGCGGCATTTTGGGCGAACAAAATTTAGGGCTGTTCACCCGTTGATGTGACGAAGACTAGAATTATGTTTTTAACATCATTCAGAATGTGTCCACAAACTGTTTTAATATATATTGGAGTTGATAATAACATGTTTCCTCTCGCTTTTCTGCAATCTGTGGGAGTAATTCTGTAAAAAGGGCCGTAAGTAGATCAAGCTTGACTACTGCTACTAGAAGTACTTAGATGTGATGTCAGATCTTATACACCTCAACTAGGTAGGTACTACGAGTCTAAGACCCGCTCGCTTTTTTTGTTTCTAGTTTTATAAGTAAACTGTCTTTGCTTACCTCAATAATCCTAGCTTGAAGATATTATTTTTCGTCGTATAATTGACCGCCATAAGCTTATGCCATGAACAATACCTTAACTTTTTTCCACAATGCGCTTTGGATGTCTTAAGTACCGTTCTCTTTAATCATTGATAAAAGAACTAAGAAAAGTGAGTAATTATATAGGGTATGTAGTGAAGTAATTAAAATCTATACTAATATTATAAAGCAGAAGAGTTTGTTTGTTTGTTTGTTTGTTTGAACGCGCTAATCTCAGGAACTACTGGTCCGATTTGAAAAATTCTCTCAGTGTTAGATAGCCCATTTATCGAGGAAGGCTATAGGCTATATATCATCACGCTAAGACCAATAGGAGCGGAGCACCAATGAAGAATGTTTCAAAAACGGAGAAAATTTATTACTATTGAGAGACGCAGACGAAGTTGCGCGGGTCAGCTAGTTAAGTAATAAGAAGAAGTAGAAGTATAAGATCTAAACAACTCGATTATTTGTTTATTTTTTAGGAAAAAATATAGTTTTTATCAGTAGCGTATGGTGGAAAATTTACAATAAGAAAGGCGCCAAAATTGTACAATAAAGGAAATTAGATCATAAATTAAAAGTTTATGTAATTTACAAAAGCATAAATAATGTAAGATGTATTTTTTTTTGTTTTTATTTGTAGGTTACAAAGTTAAGCCGGTGGAAAGTTATATGAGCAGCATTCAGTAAAAGCAGGATTCAATAAAAGTGTGAGTTAATAACTAGCTTTTATTGGACTTCGTCCAAACTAAACCTGCCACTATCCCGTCACCACCTTTTTACGAGATAAAACCTTACTAAATTATATATAATATAATTATAGACAAAATATGTCTTGATAACAGCTAAGAAACACTGAATCAGGCCGCCAGAAATTATTTGCAGTAATATTATAATAGGCACCTTTTTTTCTGTATATATACCGGATACCACCCACCGATAGATACGAATAAGAAACAAGTGATAACAATGTCACGGTCACACTATATCCGTTGTACTCGTTTCCTGCTAACTAGAAAAATAATATCTGAGGGATATATTTCAATATTAAATAGATTTATAAACATACTTATTTAAAAACCAAACCAAACTAAAAACATTTTTAAACAGACCAGTTACAGAGTACTTTGTATTTGTTTCCCACCATTTAACAAGATATTATTAAAAAGCTTAGTTGAATGTGTCAACTACTACAAATTTATGGTAAATAAATTTAACTATCTACTTATGTTTTATTCGAATAACAAAAGGCGAAATGTTTTGCATCTCTTCATTGACAACATGTTTTGTGTTACATGGAAAAATACCCAAAGGCCTTAAATTGAGTGACGTCAAAAGTGGTGAAAGGAAGCGAGACAAAATAAATTTAAGAGTGCCTTATATGTATCTTATATATAAAATTCTGTTCGTTCCCGTACTCCTCCGAAACGGCTTGACCGATTCTCATGAGATTTTGTGTGCACATCGGGTAGGTCTGAGAATCGGCCAACATCTATTTTTCATACCCCTAAATGGTAAGGGTGACCCATCCCTATTTTTTTTTGTTTTGCAATACAACGTTTGCCGGGTCAGCTAGTATAGCTATAATTCTAAAAATAGACGATCTCACGATCCGTATCGTCTTATTCATGAGATACAATCATTAGTGTGTTAGTCATTCATGGATTTAAAATGAAGTAAATATTAAAAGTAAGCATAAAGATTAGCCCCAGAGGAAATCTTACACAAAACAATTTATAATTAGAAGAATGTTTGTTTAAATATTTTTTATACTTAATATATACCATGTTTTCAGATTCGTAGGTGACATACATACATGCAATTTTTATTTATATTATGCAACATTATTTATTTATTTTATTTCAATTTTTATGCACAAATATGAGTTGTCCAATGGCGGAGTTCATGGCACAGGCATTTTTTTCAGTCTACCTTGGTTACTAGTTAGTGTACCTTAGGGTGGTGCTAAATTGTGTGACTAGGTGCACTAGAAATTGACGTGTAAAGTAAGAGAAAATTATTGAAATTGAAATATTATGGAAATAATATTATTGAAAATATTACATTTAATCCTCATTTAATCTTTAAGGAGCTACAGTCATTTTTGGGACTGCTATAAGTTATTCAAAAGGAAATCCGCCTTGGAGCTACTATATTAACAGTTTTTGCGATATCGTCACTAACTAATTAAATAACTCAGTAGTCCTGCTCCCAGTCTCTGAATCTAAAGGTGGCAATACTGAAACCGCCAAACATCAAGAGTCTGTAAAATGGTCCTAAGGTAGCCTTACCTAATCATCAAATGTACTTCAGTTTAACACCTGAACCAGTCGACTACAAAGTGTCATTCATTCTTTGTTTTGACTAAAACAGGTCAAGGAATATGTCTCAGGATTGTATAAGGGCTATTTTAATGAAAGCATTTGTTTTATTGCGTAAAATAATCGAGTCATGTCCTACCCTTGGACTATTTGACGCAAATTATTATTGGAGCTCCGACTTCGGTTGATATCTTTATGGTCTATGAGTTATACAATTAGTCTAAATACTTTGTATTACTTAGACGTTCACATGATGACTAATAATTTATTTGTTTAAATATGTGACCTTTTTAGATTTATTAGGATTTACTTATGCATTATATTCAAGCGTATTATAAGTATGATGTATTTTTGCGTAACAAGTATAAATATTTCATTACAGATAAAATATGATTAAGATTCCTGGTAGCTTTCTGGTTGACATAGTTGTTTAGTGGCAGGCAAAGTAAGAAGTAGTGTTATGGCTAAAAGTTGAAAAAATGTTAAGCTATGTTTCCAAGGACCATTACGGTTTAGACGTAGTTATTGTTCACGGAGGTGTTGACAATTTGATTAATAATATAAAGTAATCCTATATAACCAAAATCACCTACCTAAATAAACCTATACCTAATATACCTACGTATACCTAAAATAATAATTCACTTTAGGTGTAGGTGTACTACAGAATTGCTTATTCAACACTACCTATACCTATCCCCACCCCGACCATTCAGGAAGTGGTTTATTTTAGAAGGTTGCGTGTGTAACGATTTATCCAAATATAATGCTGTTGGCAGAAAACAAACTCGTATTGTGAGCGTATATAAATTATTTGTACGGTGTTATATTTTATAATCTATTATTTTTAGTCTCTCCCTTTCTCTTAATTTCACTAAAGCGTCGGGGACCACATTCGGTTGTTGACAAACTTGAAGTCTTATCATTTCTTCTTTGTCTGTCAACTTTTTTAAAATTTTAAAAGTAAATCTGTTACTGATACGTTAGGACGGTGACTTAGGTACTCACTCACAAACCAACAGTTCGCCCCAGCCGACACAAATGGGACCTGTGCTTTAATTTCCCAAATAAATACTTAACAATCACACGTCTAACAATTTATTAGTCACTTTATTTCAGTTGAAATTACGACAGAGCAGGATTTAATTATTATAAGAAAAAAATATACCCAATGGGTTTTTCCTGAATAGTTGGAGATTTTATTAATCAGCTAAATATTGTATGTCTGACTAATTGTGGCAACGCCGACGGTCATTAAAGGGACCATGATTTTAATTTGATTTATTCGGATATTAAATACTTACCTAGTTACGTATCATAATATTGCTATATAAAAGCGTTAAGTACGCCAATGGCTTTATTTAATGTTAAATTATCAGTACTACCAGAGTCGTGGGCGAGGCTGCGCATTTGCTGTGCAGATAATATAAGTGTTATAGTGCTATATCGTCCATAAAAGACTGGTGGAATACTATTGTGATTTTTTGTTTGAAAATGGAAGGCATGGGCCGCTACGTACTCATCGCGAGTGTTTGGTTGTTGCTAGCGATTGTACAAAGTGCAGAGAAAAAAATCATTATGACCACTGATGAGAGTAAGATACTTTTCATTTTCAGGTTTAAGATCATTTATTTCTCACAAATAATAACATTAAGTATTCACTTAGATGAGAAAAAGAATTGCAGTTTTATTAATTTAGCTGTGATACAGGAAAGTAATTGAAACAAAATATGTAACAACAAAACAATTTCTCACACAAATATAGTGAGGGTACATTTTCACATTTATTACACATTATTGAACATTTTATCTTTTTCTTTACATAATTTAATTATAGTTTAATTTAAAAATTGGTCTATATAATATTAAAAATACTTTGAACTGGGATAAGTTCATTGGCCTCTCTGCAAAGTAAAAAATGTTTTTTTTTGGCATTTGCGTCAGTCAGTATGAGGTATAAAAATAATATATTTTTAATTGTAAAAATTTAGTATTTCAACAAGCGGCACAAAAACTTTACAAAAACTTATTTGCCGTTGAGAAAAAAATACCAAATTTTACCGCAGCATATCTGCCAGCAACGTGTTACACAGTAATAGTTGTTAGAAGATACCTATCTTCTAACAACTATTACTGTGTAACACGTTACGAGAGGTACGGCATCGTCAAGTGTACAGGAAAATAGAAAAAGACTCTCCAGAAAGTGCAGATACAAAGAAAAGTAGTAAAAGAGTATACTACTTTTTCTTTAGCTCTTTGATCTCCTCATTGACTCCTCTTCAAGAGGATATGTTGAGCTTTTTAATTTAATTTTTGCAAAATTACTTTCGAGTAACGTAAGGTGTTACAAGTACATAAAAATAAAATAAATGTGTTATTCTACACTTACTCATTACTACAAACAATGTGCAATAATATGTTTGAATTTTTTATTTATTTACATACCTAGGGTAATAAATTTAATCATCATCATCATCAACAGCCTATAACAGTCCACTGCTGGACATAGGCCTCCCCTTAGAAAGGAGGTTTTGGCCTACTATACCACGCTGGCTAGACGGGTTGATATAGGTTTTGTTTCAAGTTTTCCTTCTCTTTGCAGTGCTGTTGTCCTGCGTAGTTTGCTCCCTTAGCCGGCTCTTACGACACCTACGGGATGAAAAGGGGTGGTGACATTGCGTATTCTAACTCCGTCACCACACGGACAATATATAATAAATTTAATATTGTAATGAAATGTAATTTGTATTAATTCGCCTCTTAATTAATATTTGCTATAACGTGAATTAAATAATTGTTCTAGAATGATGGAAGGCGCTGGCATCTGTGATACACAATTTAAATACATTAAGACAGGTGCTAACGTTTTACATTTTAATGTGCCATATTTAATTATTTTTATTGATACCTACTCTAAAATAATGGCATAATGTGGTGAACCTTTTTTTGTGAATTGAATTATTATTATATTATTCTTGAAATAGGATAGCTTACTTGGTGGACATGGGTAATTTTTTCTGCGGATTATTCAACGTAACTTATTATTTATTAAAAGTAATTCAATACCAAATTTTCATAAATCGAACTGTAGATTTCTACATACGCCTAATTTTAATGTCAATGATAAATAGGTTTTATTTTATTTTATGATAATTATCAGCAATTTCTGCAACAGTTTTTTGACATAAAGATAAACATATTAAATACAAAAAATATTCAGCACAAAACTTGTAATTGTTGACATTGAGTTTTAATTCTACGTGAGAAATAGAATTTTTAATTAACCATCATTGAAGATAATTTATTGTAAGTATCTCTGTAATGATAAATGTGATAATGTTGAATCAATGCTTAAGAATTGTTCTATTTGTCATGGGAATGAGAATACGAAGAAACATAATTTCATGAAGGTACTGTAACTGACTGTCTGTTTTTGAAAGATATTTAAGAAAAACTATTTGACATCCTTCAGCGTTTATCTGTGCGCTTGTGCGTGCTATTCTCAGAAACGGCTTAACTGATTTCAATTAAATTAGGTATAGGGACAGCTCGAAACCTCGATTAACATATAGGCTACTTTTTACCTGGATAGCAAGTTTGGATATTCGGCAATCTATAATGATAGCATGAACACAATTGTTGTAAAATTGCCAATTAGGTGAACATTTGTTATAAGCAACACCAGTTTGTGTTTGCGGAATTTAAGCGGTTTAATAATACATTGTAGTACTTCTAATTGTCGAATGTAATAGTACATGTTTACTTGTTATTTATACATAAGTTATGTTTTGTTTCTGTGTGGAACTGATTGAAATTATGGACCATCAAATTTAAGGTTATACATATTGTAGTTATCACGATTGGTTATTAGTGCGTATCGGACGAAACCACGGATGTATAAGGCCTTAATCTTAATATTTAAAGACATTGCAAAAAAAATCGTGAAAATCTTTTTGACATACTTATAATTTGATTTTGAAATATATGTGGGTATTATTTCTATTAATACCTACTATCGTAAATTTTGTTTGAAGTATAAACGTACAATTAAGGATTTTGTGTTTCTGTCATTCTCTTACATATTTTTGACTATTTATGTTTATCGGTATTCTAATCTTTTCCGACTTAAGGACAAAGCAGAATAAATTTACATTAGAAATATATTATACAGTTATAGAGTAAATATTTAGTGTGTTTACTTTATACTTATTTAAAACTGATTGGCAGCATTTAGCTTTGTTAACTGTAGACTCTCATTTCTTTTATTAATTTTTGATTACAAGTGGATTATTTATTTGTCAGCGCGAGAGAATGGCAATTAAAAAAAGAATAACGTGTTGTCTTCTAATCACTAATAATGATTACGTTGATTTCAAATGGTTTTAGAATATGAAGCAACAATTTCACTAAAACTTACATAACCAGGTGTCTAGTATGAGGTTTTTAAGACGAGCCACTATAAACTTAAACGAAGATCTAAGAAAAGTTGTATCAGCGCATTGCGTGCCTTTCTATCAGGCTGGCGTGCCGGAGGACACTTTCCGAGACACTGCCCCTGTTACATACAATAGTCTGCTTCACGGCGTTACTTGGTCGAGGTCAGGACAATGTTGAGTCGTCGTTATGGTAACTCGGTGCTCGTAAAAAAAATAATTCAAGGCCATACAGATATAAAGCATTTATATGCAAGGATTGTAAGGGAACATGGAATCTTCATAAACGGCTATTGTTTTAGTTTTCGTTTGATTCCGTTAGAAGTAGGTTATAGGTAAAATGAGAAACTTAGTGCAGGCCTTCGTTCAGGTGTGATTCATCGTGCTTAGAAAACCATACAGTTTCTGAACACCATCAGCTTATGTGATTACAAATGATGCGCTCAATATTCTTTTAATATTTAGAGAGTATTTGCAGAACTTATCGGTACCTGCTTCTATTTGGTCGAAGTATTCGTTTTTATTTCCAAATTTGTTTAATCAAATTGTTTGAATTGAAACAGGCGAAAAGCAATGTTTTCTTTTCGTTTTAAAACTGTATTCATATACTGTTACCCTAAATCAAGTTTTTTTTAGTCTCTGACAACTAGTTATCGGATGAATATCTAGCGAATTTAACCTGAATTCTGGTTTAAGAATCTTTATTTCTCAAAAGAATTTACAAAATTCACTTACTGAGAAAACAATTACATTATTGATTACGACAGTCCCATATTATTATTATTCTCTTTAATTTTTGTATATACATATTGACAACAAATAATATACATTTCCAAACACATTAAAGAAACGAAATATATATAACAAACCCAAAAATGGAACAACAGGAAGTAAGTGGTGTCAGGACAACAGCAGAAGGTGATTAGAGGTCTAAGGACAGGAACCTCTCTTCGTCGTACACTTCGACAACAATAAACAATAAATATTACATAGGAAGTTCGCTGTCGTATGCCTATAAGAATGTAATAAAATAGTCATTATGTCACAGAAACTATTTTGCCGCTAAATTTTTTGGGGGAAGTTGCAAACCTCTACAGCTTATAAAGGTTCCTCTTTTCTGGTTACTATTTTAAAATTTTAAATGTTTTTAACCATTATAATTTACTATTCAAAAATTATATCATTTTTTTTGCAGTGGAGAACTTCATTAATCCTGATGACCTGAAAATAATTCTGGATTATTATCAACAAAATTCGTCGATGTTCAATGCAACAGTACGTATGTTTTAACGTTTCATAACAATTAGAATTAAAATTTGAACAAAAATTTAAACAATAAATTACATTAATCCTCCCATATGTCAAGACAGTGATTGTATCTAGAAAAGATAGATGCAATTGTACTCAAATCAGGTGACTATTCTGAATTCTGCTCTCCTAATAATTGGTAACTGTCGGTTTTAGCACCACCTACTCGTAAGTTTAAAAGTAGGGATAATGAGGTTGGTAGAACTGGAAAACCTTTAACATCAAGAATAGAATTTTATTGAGAATCTAAAAATAAATAATACTAATTAATTAGAATTAATTAATTTAATTAATTATTAATTTAATTAATTATTTTAATTAGAATTATTAATTTTTTTATTTTATTTTATTCTTTATTTTTATCCTTCTTAAGCATTTTCATAAAATACGACTATTGTTCTTTATCCGTTCTTATATTTATTAATAATGTTCGCCACCAGGCTGTAAAGCCAAGAAATATAATACACTAAAGAGTAATAAGGCACTTTGCAAGTCCAATTTTCAAATTGAACGATTGTGAAATTACGGTCATTTTCAGAAACTCAAGTCTGACTATTGTAGGTATATTACATTTCCTTTCTATCGTAACATGTATTTTTTAATAAAAAAAATCTACCAGTTTATACCTATAGGTTTTACTGATAGTGTTTTTTTTGTTGTCTGTTGACACAAACTGTTAACTGTACTCTAGAACAATATTATAATGTTGATAAAGTATTTGAAAACTGTTTAGTATTTAAATAAATTTTTAAGTATTTAATAGTAACAAACTAAACTGACAGAGGAGCGAATTTTTTTTAAGGTTTTAACTCATCTCCAGTGATATTACTGACCCTGACTTATTTTGTTTTTATAGCAATCAATAACAACAACAAAACGCCCTGTACAATCCGTGGGGTGTTTCGGTGTTGGAGGATTCATGATACGAGCCATTAACTCATTATTTTCTCTCAACTTGAGACCTAGTTCATCGGATGATATTAATACACATTTCTATTTTTCTTCGAGAAAAATGAATTTTAGGGTACAGGTATGTCAAGAAGAGATTTAAATATTTATTAGTATTATATACTTCTTCTTATGGCCACTGCGTTTCTAATACCTATACATAACTATTATTAACATCTAGCTGTACCCTGCCAGGCTTTGCTGTGGCATATTGTGGTTGCATTGATGAGAGATGAGGATCAAAATTGACATGAAAAATAGATAAAAACCATTTGCTATGACTACAGTTTGTCAAACAATCAAATCAAATAAAATTCCGTAGCATTTAGGAACTACAACCTTCTAAAAATTTTTAAGATAATTTTGGTTTTAGGGTTGTCATCTCATATTTTATTTTTCATTAATTATTTTTGAAAAGTTATTACTTTATATAAACTGTGATAAAAAACCAACTTCAAACAACAACGACCAACCCTCGGTGCAGAAATTTTTGAGTGTTTGAAACGTACACAAACCAACTTAACATTTCTATAAATATTGATAAGATTAATAAGCCGGAACTTACTGACAAAATATAGTAGTTAGCAAAGTTGTTGAGTACTTCCAGTATTAAATTGAGCATCTATGCGTAGTTTTAGTTTGAAAGCTTTGAGTTAACTTAGACTAAACCTAGTGAAACATCTATTAAAGTAAAGAATAGAATAGTTGGTTGTTAGATATATCTTAGGAAAACTTACAAAAACCTTTAAGCAAACCGGAATGTTTTATTTAGTACACCTACTTAAAAAATTACAAGAACTGTAAAAGAATAATTGTTAAATTAACAAAACTGACGAGATATCGCCTTTTACTTAAAAAAAAATCATATATCTATTTCTTACTGACGTTATACAAATGCACTAAAAATAATTCTATGAATTTAGTATGATTTATTAAATTTTCTCAGGTTTTTCCTGGACCTCAATTCGGTATCGAGTCGGTTGATTTCGACGCAAATAGGAAGACGGTAATGATCGTTCATGGTTTCATGAGCTACAGTGGCGCAGACTGGGTTATCAACATGACCGAGGCCTACCTGAACTGGGTACGTGCTTATTATAGTGTCAGAGTAATAAAGAAGGGAAAATTAGAGCAGTTAAAAGTAAATAATTATTATGGGGAAAGCAGTAGGAAGTATGTAGTACCAAAGTTATGTAATAAATATCAAATACTAAGGGAGGACAAGAAAATAAAATGTAAGTTTAAACTAAAGCTAAGACTAAAGGAAATGCTTGGATATGGCAATAGATTAACATAAACGCGTGTAGGTACATAAATAGGAAAGCAGGTACCCAGGAAATAGTCAGGTTCCACATATTTATGTATTGTTTATGTATGTACACCGTTGTAGTAGTAATTTAAAAACCAGCATTTAAGTACTAAGGTTTTTATAAATTGAGTGGAACGCCTACAAACTGTTAGAACACTGACGAATAGAGAAATTGTTAAAAAAATTTAATCAAGTGTGATTAAAGTTTATAATAAAAATAAAAAAAGCTTTAATTAACACTTATCTGCTACTTCTAACTTCTTAAATATTAGAATAGTAAAATATATGCTTATAACAACTAAACGATGGATTGCGAGTTATGAAATAGAAATCTAAAATTCATGATAGTATGATAACATTCAATATTATTATTGTAACTAATTTTAATACAATATTCATTAAAATAAACTCCTAACATAAACTCCATCCAATTGTAAATTTTCAGGAAGATGTTAACGTTATAGCGGTAGACTGGAGCGGGGGGAGCAACACCTTTAAATATTGGCGCGCTGTAGCGAATACAAGAACCGTTGGGAGGGATATAGTGACGTACGTGCCTTAAAGATAGTCTATGCACACGACACCTAACATAAAAATGGTTATTATATCGTTAAGGTTACTCTAAAGCAGTTTCGGGAGGCGCCATAAAGGTTCCGGTTGCCTTAATAACAGCTGTTCCCGAATCCATCCTATCTGAGGTGCAGAATGGAATACCATGTAGGTAGGACTAGGTTTTGGTCGGTTCGACTCCGACACACTGCTCCACTGCAAAGCCGGGTGGGGTGACGGCCCAAGGGGCTTTCCATTTCATTATCTTCAGCCTTTCGTAGTCCACTGGTGGATATAGGCCTCTCCTTAGAAAGGACATTTTGGACAACGCTGGATGAATAGGGGTGGCCAAACTCCGTATTCTTAATCCGTCACCACACGCATAAGAGGCTTCCCTCACGTAAAAAAAGGTCATTTTTCCTATAACAATACAATAGAGTGCTGATAAGTGAATTACGTTTTTATACATTTCTATTCCTTTGTTCTCAGCTTTATGCGTCAGTTAAAAAATGCGACCGGACTAAATTTTAAGAATTGCCATTTCATCGGACATAGTTTAGGAGCTCAAATTATTTCCTTCGCGTCGTATGAATTGGGAAAAGTTGGCAGAGTAACAGGTAAGCCCTCTTTTCTAGATTACTAAATGTGTGGGATGGATCTGGGAACTGAGAGTATAAACTTATTATGTATGGCAAAGTGATTTCAAATTAAATGTTCAGGATGATTTTCATCCAAAGAAACAGATAAAAATAACTTTAACTAAGTAGTATGTGCCAGAAATATTCCAATAAGAAGGGAAATACCTCAAAAATCACTAGTTCGTTTATCAATTCATTTTATTAAGTCTTCTTCGTCAGACCATTCTGGAGTTATCTTTACAACTTCCGGGCTCCGCAATTTAGTAACCTCTCAATAAAGTAATCAATTTAGTCATCACTACTACTTCATCCCTCTTCAAACCCGTGTCCATGGGCCCCATAGGTATTCCAATGTATGCTGTATGTATCCAGATGGTATGCTTGCTTGTATTAGTCATTATCTTCAGTTGATATTGGTACGTTAGTTACAGCAGCTACTTATTTTGTAGGTTTGGACCCAGCTCTCCCGTGCTTCAACACAACAAACACAAAAGATAGGTTGGACCCATCAGATGCCGACTTCGTTGACGTTATTCACACCAACGGCAAACTATCTGCGTTTGGTTTTGGATTCCCTTATCCTACTGGTAATGTCTTCACGGTCATAATAATAATATCCAGTAGGTACACATCACACAACGCTTTCTATACCCAAGTATTCTATGAGTTCTAGATCACTCTTTATTTTATTCGGTAATAATTTTAATTACTATTAAAATAACAATTATTAACAACAAATAAACCACACAAAAATAGCTTAGTTCTTTCCTTCGGTATCTTCTTCTTCTTGTCAACGAGTGAACATCCCTAAATTTTGTTCGCCCAAACTTCCGCCACAGCTATGGCATTGTCCGTCGCTCTCCACAAGTAAACGTTCTATCACCTACTGGTCCTTTGGTAACTTGCATGTGTTTTGTTTTGTTCCAATTGTTTATTATGTTTTTTATTTTTTAAGGTCACATTGATTTCTACCCTAACGGTGGCATCCGACAGCCGGGCTGTTTTAGCAGCAAAATACCATTCTATAACAGTAAGTCCATATTCGCATAATATGAGAGTTTACCAATGTTTTAGAAAAACTTTTGGATACCGTTGTATCCAAAAGTTATCACACACAAAAACATCGTTATTATCTTATCGTTTGTTGTCCGACACACTATCGGGGAGAAAAGAAAAAACATTCATCAGTACTTTACGATTTTTACTCCAAGATTTTATTGTATCACTTTATCAGCGTGAGTAAGATATAAATTTTTCAGCTGATTTGGCGAAATAAATAGTGAAAACAACATTATTTTCTGTTCTGTGGTTGCTTGATAGGACTCTTGCACCTTAATAAAAATATGACGCTGTTTGGTTGGACCAATTTGTTTCTGTTTTTCTTCAGTATTATAATAAAAATAAACCAAACTAGTTTTTTCTTGGTAAGAAAAACGTTGTCCGAAAAAATGTGTGTTCCAAGTAAATATACACTTATTATGTTACATAATCATTTTTTGAGAATTAATTATATTGTAATTTAAATATATAGCTATGCAAATGAGATGACTGTACCTGTGTAGCTAGTACGTATTTTTTTCTACGTTTTTTTCGTACAACTGTTTTTAGTTTTATGAGTATTGTGTGTTATGTTTTAGCGATAGATCAAGCGATATGCAGTCACGGGCGCGCTTACATTCTGTTTACTGAATCGTTGACCAACAAAAATTGCAGCTTCAGGGGATCTCATTGGGACTTAACAGTTTCAGGGTGAGCTCATTTATAAGTATACACAATAATAAAGTGGAAGAGTCATGCTTCGGCATAAATGAGGAGGAGGGACACCACGGCCTCACAGAAAACCAGTGTTAACAAGTTCCTTCGTTGCTTTTTTTACCGGTTATTGGTTACCGGCGCCATCAGGTGACCCGTCTGCTCGTTTGCCCTCCTATATGATAAAATAAATCCACAAAGAGTTTAAACGTCTATGTTTTTGAAAATATATGCAAAGTCGTTCGTATATTTATGTTATAGGTATTATAAGGATTATGTGTTTATGAATGATATTCCAGCTTAAAAAAGAGCATCGCGGCAACCTGCGGCACACACAATTTATCATGCCCTGAGATGGGTATCAGAGCTGCTAGGAACGCGAGAGGCCATTTTCTTGTACTAACCGAAGAAAAAATACCTTACTGCGGTAAGTTATTATTTAATTGATTCTCTTTTATCTGTTATATATAAGATATAGTAAAAGTTACATATAAAATATAGTAGGTTTACATACGATTATATAAGTACACTAAGGCAAAGGCGCAAAAGGCCATATAATGCTAATATATAACTTGACATTTTGAGAAGTTCTGAGAATGTTCTATAGGTAGGTACATTTTTTAACACAAGTGTAGTTTAATGATTTCTAGGTAGTAGAGAATTTCAATTGCATACTTAATAAAGTGTTAATTTAATTGTTATTTAGTTGTGTGAATTTAAGCCAATTTAAGAAAAATCTAAATTGTAGTAATTAGGTAGCTGATTTCAGTTTTTAATTACTTAACTAAATTTCTTTTGAATTACAGTTTTGAATTAATTCGACAATTTATTTTCTAAATTAATAGAAAATATATATTGCCGAATTTATGCAAAAGTTTAACGTTTTTAGATTTAAGTCTAGTGTTTTATTAATTGAATCTTGAAATGCATTAAATATACAATCGATTGAATAAAGCTATATTTTTTTTTCTCCTTGCTGACTTAGGATTAAATTAAAACACTTTTCAAGATAACGTTTCTAGTCAAAGCAATATACACACGAACGTTATTATCGCAACAATTTTTTTTACACACAAGTTTTTAATTAAAAAAACTGTTAATTCATTTATTGAAAGTGAAAATTGAATTTGATTGATCTAATTTACGTCTGGTGAAGCCATCATTACGTGTTTAACACAGTTTGGTGGTTAATACATAATACAGCACTTTTGGCGCTGATCTCTGAAATAATTAATAATTCTTAGTCTTAAAGCTCACGGACGCCGAGTGACGGACGTGCTACATTTCTGCTGGCATGACCTTTATTACAAAAGTAACAAATGAAAAGAGGATCTCGTAAACGGAAATATATAGTTGTAACTTTGGTTTCTTTATGATAATAAATGTACGATAACATTTAAAACTACGATATTCGTTCGACTAATCACTTTGTTTTCTATTGAAATCAAAACCCCATATAATACGTATTTAATTTAATTTTCTTTTCAATTTATATTATTGTCCTGATCCGTTGACATTTCTTGTTATTAAGCGTAAACAAAGTTATCGCCACTGTCATTGCGGGGACGTTGGTAGCGTGTTTTGTTGTATCCGCATTGATGAATCAGTAATCGTTCAGTCCATGCTTGGAACAATAACAACTGCATGGTACAATATAATTACCTAATAGGTACTTAATTTCACAAACTATGACGATGTTAAGGAAAATTGAAGTCGTGTGTCTGATACAGAGTTTCTGTAAAGCACACTAATTCCCTTTTCAGTTCGGGTACCTATATGTATATTCAAAGGATACCGGTTTTACCAGTTCATGCTGGGTTCGGTAAATCAGGCAATCTAAAAAACATCTATGTTAGTTGTAAACTAACACAATTAGAAATAATGTTTAAGTATCGTTCAAGTCTTCAGAACTTTCATGGGTACTACCGAACTTTTCAAAGGCTAAATGTATTTATAAAAATAAATGACGCGTTGTCCATTATAATACTAGTAAGAAGCTTTAAATTTCATTCAACCTAACTAGGGTGGTTAATTGAAATATCCTAAAATAAAAATTACCGTAGTGTAGGACGCCCACAGGCCAGGTGGAGTGACGATTTGCGCAAGATTCGATCTAAGTGGAGTGCAATGCGATGATGATGATGAAAATAAAATTACACAAAAAAATGTTATAAATATAATTGCAGTGTTGTAAAATGTTAGTGACATTTAAATTTGATATTCTTACATGAAAGATGTCGGAAAACAGTACCTACCATTTTGACATCTTGGAACTTATATAATGATGAAGGCAGGAGGTGCGTAGTGGAGCTCTTCGGCAACCCCCTAACAGATTAGGCTCAACTAAGAGAATTTTTTTTCCTTTTTTATTTAAAAAAAAACATTATGGTTACATAAATGATATGACATGTTAAAACAGAGCACACGCCTAGTGTTAAAATAATTTTTATAACATTATTTTTAGTACCGGACTGGCAGCAACATCAGCCGTCACCTGATCTGCTCGAGGACATCACTAACTACCTTCAACATCTCACAGATACAACAGCGTCAAATGGAGCTGTTACGCTATCCTCAATCATACCATTTAGTATTGCAAAAGTGACCAAGCTAGTCGAGACAACGACTAATACAGGTGACATAAAGGCCACCACTTCCATCAGATGGTACAATCGCCTTTTTAATTATTTATTTACAAAGATTTCTCACACAGAAAAAATCTCAGAAGATGGTAACCCAGAAGACAGTTAATCGTAAACTATAAAGTGTAAATAGTTATTTTTTAAAAGTCAATGCGATATGTTCTGTAGAAAATTGTATTAAATAAGGGAGCGTCCATTAATTACGGGGGTCGAGCCGAATCTCTTCCAATCTTACTTTGGGGAGATGGGGGTATCTCGGCAAATACCGCGTAATTTTTCGCAAGAAACAGAATAAAATTGTGAGAAAACTGGGTTAAATTAAGTAGACATGTTCCTCCACGGAAATATGGTCAAGTCTTATACAATAATATTTATCATGGTATTGCGAGTGCCGCGAAGTTGCGCAGTAGCCCGTCGTTTGTTTACTCGCCACCGCCAGCCTACAAGTATACACCACCTTTACACTAAAAACACATTTTTAAAAATCTTACCTGGGATTGTGGTATGGGGAGGAGGTTGAATCAAATCTCACGTCATCATCTCTCATGTATCTCGTGTATCTCACATCTCACCAGGGATCCCTCCCTTCCTCGGGGGAGCCGAAAATCGCCGAAAACCTCTCACGTAATTAATGGACGCCCCCTAAGGTTTTACGGACTCCCTGTATGACCCCACCACACCAAAATGAATTATTTTGTATGTTTGATTTTACTAACGTTGATTATACTATTGTAAAAAATCGTATGAATGCCATATACCTACAGCTTCTTGTGAGCGTTACCATACTTTATTTTAAGAACACCATACTATTGCCATTAGGTAATCTACCTGCAAATTCAAATATAAGATGATCGGAGGAGTTGGTGGCCATATTATACATAGTTTTAACCGAATTCAAAAAAGGAGGAGATTCTCAATTCGTTGGAATCTTTTTTTATGTATGTTCACTGATTACTTTAAGACGCCTGATCTGATTTGGAAAATCCATTTTAATTTTATTGCAATCGTTCGAGCAGTTTTTAAAAAAATAATAAAATCTGTATACATCGATAATATTTTTCGGATTCGATTTCATGTGTGATTCGTAATTTTTATTGAGTTGGTTTTGTGTGCACATGAAAAAGCCTATCCTTACTTGCGATTGGTATGAGATTGTATCGTGTGACAATTTCATTTTAAATATTTAAATAGATATAATGTTACGTCTGTTTGGAGTGTTATAATGCCAATTCAAGTTATTATGTAGGATATAAATATCAATATGAATATAAATATTATGAAATAATTAAACGATAGTATATTTTTTAAGAAACGTTCTTTAAATTAGAAAATAAAGGTTTGAAAAAATTGTTTTGTCTTTCCGTTGCAATCTTTTTACATAAATATATACCTACTTATATATTAGCATCATTATCAACAGCCTTTAATAGTCCATTGTTCTACATAGGCCTCTCCTTATTAGAAAGGAGCTTTATATATTATTTTGATCTGAATTTTAGTTACCGCAATTTTAGAAATAAATAATCTCAATTCCAAATATGTATGTAGGTATAAAAAGAGTGTTGATATGTCGATACAAAATAAAAAATGTAGTAATAGTTCAAACCAAGGATGTTTTGGGAATAAAAGATGGGTAACATTTGGAGTACATTTAAAAGGAAATATACGAATGGATTATAGTAGATGATGCTAAATGGGGATTTACTCGTCCGTCATGGGGACCCCCCCCATGACGGACGAGTAAATCCCCAGTATTGTGTTTTAAAGATTAGATGATAGAATGAATAATAGTTATATCATGTTTTCACTTTCAGCGATGGCAAAAGCTTCTCTACTTCTACAGGTTTTCAAAAATGTGAAGAAATAACAAAAAAAAATTGGGCGCATCAGATATTTTGGGGATATATTATTTAGACGCCAAAAATGCTCCTATTGAAAGGTCTGACGATTTCTAAGTGACACAAGATCGTAGCGAATTATCGAAAATGCAAACTGCGATTTCCAAAAATCGCCATTTCCAAATACCCTAGCGTGTTAAATTTTAATGTAAAAATTTTTAGTGTAAAATATACAGACGGTTTAGCTTGATGTTCCTCTCATACTAGCCAAAAATCTGACGATAATTTTGCAGGATATTTTAAATCTCTTTATTCTCTCTGCTTTATGTCACGCTCAAATCGTTTGATTTTTTTAAATATATACTAATGTGTATGTAATTGACTCAACTTACGTAAATCTTACACGCTCGAGTATATCTGGCCATCGATTTTTCTTTTTAACTAATCTGATGGGCTGCTCTAGACGCTCCCCCCTATATTTATGTGGTTCATATGTGGTGGAGGTACTCATCTGGGTGTAAGGTATTCCTCCTTATGTTAATCTACCACGCTCGAGTTAATTCCGAAATCCCTTCTAGTTACAGCATCGCTCTGTGGCGCATCTAATGACGCAGGCCGGGGTGCATCGGAGAACGGTTTAAGGAACTCCGAACGCGAGAATTCATTGAGCTCAGACTATAACGTCGAGGCTTTACACATACAGCTGACCGGGTAGAAAGCTCACTGTGTATCAACGAATGGGGTGGGTTTAGTGCAGCCCCACCCCGAGTACTGCTGTACTGCGTAGAAACGGACTGCCTTCTAGTTATCATAGTTATTAGCTGTATCATTATTAGTCTTTCAGGGTATTTTAAAAACAATAATCATAGCTTTTATGCTGATTGATAATTTTTAAATATAGCACTACTTAAACACGCCATCAACAGAATTTGTGTTTTTTTTTAGCTTTCTCGCTTTTCTCCTAACAATAACCAGTTGGTTCAAAGTGTTAAAAGTTCAAAAAGTACAAAAACCTTTATAAATGGCAATATACAGTCGTATTTACTCAAACGCGATACAAAAAATTATATTTGTTGGTCAAAATAGTGGTTCCTCGGAATAAATCATTTTTTCTAACTGAATGCAAGTCTGTTATCGAGGTTTGTGAAATATTAAATAGTCACTTCTTTTATAGTAAAGGGGGCCAACGAGCACACAAGTCGCCTGATGGTAAGTGATTACCGCCGCCCATCGACACCCGCATCTCCATGTTGCCACCCTTTGAGTGACGGCCCCTCAAAATTAGAAGGAGGACGTTGAAATTGGGCCTCCGATCACTCACTTGGTAAAAAAGAACGAGAAAATAGTTCAATACCGGTATTCTATGAGACCGTGATATCAGTCCAGTCGAGCTGGTTTATTTGTGTCAAAGCATAGCTATCCAGCCGTGGAATAACTAAAAAATCTCTAGCTAAGCAGTATCGAATAAGTAAGAATAATTTTTATCAACAACTTTAACTGTAAACAATGATGGAAGGACAAAGGCATTCTAGTCAATCTTAAACTTTGTTAGTCTGATTTGGCTACTGGTAATAATCGCGTCTGTCGGTGGCCTCTACTTGATGATGGAACCAGTTGTGGAGCTAGGAGTAGAGATTAACCACACACCTGACACTTACCATTTGGATTCGACTATCACATTCCCAGGGGTTACCGGTTGTTAGGAGCAAAGGATCAAAGAAGTTCAGCATAAGTTCGAAGCCTTGTATCGTAAGTACCTCGGATATTCCAAATAGGAAATCAAGGAATCTATCGACGGCAGTAAGTGGAAATGTCATGTCTCTAATTATACACAGGGACCAAAAACTATTTCAAATAATTAGTAAAATTTTAGATAAACTAACAAAAAATCAACTAACTTTCAACGTATCTAACGTCATTAGATCATGCCACGTTGTTTTTCCTGATTAATTACATACTAGTTTAACATTCGTTTGTGCCAATTTCCGATATACGACGTGGGGATGCCGTATTTCGCTTTCTGCCATGGATATGTCCAGGACAGTGTCAGCGCAATAGTGCACCTTTTTTTATTATTTTTTTTATTTTTCCGTGCGGAAATCTCCTCGGATACCACCTATCGGTGGCATGTCGGACTCGAACCGACTAAAACAGCACGCCGTCTCGGGTACTAATAGCCGGGGAACCAGGTATACCCTAGAAAGGAAGTCCCTGGTGCGCAATAGTGCACCTGGCACCAAAATGATCTGTCATTTTAATATATTTGACATTTTTTTTTCTTAATTTTTGTTTCAATAAGGCAACAATATTAGGAATATATCCTGTGAGGTATCCTTTACAAACATACATGGCACGAGCAGAAAGAACACCTAGACTCAGAACAACAATTTGTGGATTACACAAAGTGTCGTCCCATGTGGGGATCGAACCTACAACACTTAGCATAGTAGGAAGCATCGTGGCGACTGTGCAGTCCATTACCATGCATTCGATATTATTAGATACATTAAAAAAACTACGCAGATGTCATCTTGTTATATATTTTTTATTAACTGACCAGCGCTCTCAAAAGGATTTAATTTTCCCCTTTTTTGCAAGATTTTTTATTGATGCTCGGCTCCTCTTGTCCTAGCGTAATGTTATATAGCCTATCTATCTATCTGGGCTATGCCTTAGTATAGGTGTCAACTAAGCATAAAACGTGTAAAAAGATGTTTATGCATTATTCATATTTTTTTAGATCATTTTAAAAATGTTTAATATTGAGCAATACGAACTCTTCTACGCACGCTGTTATTTTGATCGTCTTTCTTTACATAACTTTATTCTTGATTTTATTTCAAATAATTAAAATTAGATTCATTAGTTTAAAACGTGCCGAAAATCGACGAGTCTTCAAATTAATATTTACGAGTTACTTTACTTACTTAATACGAGTAACATCATCAATGTCAAGCAACGGCAAGCAAACAATGATATTTCAGGCGTCACTGATAACGACCTTTGTTCGTAGATATCAAATGTAGGCTAATCTTTATTTACCTATGATAATATTTGAACTGAACTTGAAGATATGTCTGTCAAAAAAATGGTATATATACCATAAAAATGATGTCTGTTAAACTTGTAAAATGTGTAATATTTACATACAATTACAAATACTTACTTTCTTCATCACCTAGACGTTGTGATAGAGAATGCTATTAGTTCGGATGTGTAACAGATGTACATAAAGCTAGTTTTTCTTTGTACGATAATTCTAATTAATAAT